ATGCTGCTTATGAGTGTTCTGTGAATGCATTGTAAAGGTATCAAGAAGGTGCAGTTCATATAAAGAGTTATGTAGTTTTGATTATATATTTTTTACCTTGATTGGCACTGGGTATTAAATAGTTCATGTGTTTGTGTATATTACCGTACCAGAGATGATTAATGGAAAATGCCACCTCCCATCTTCTAGTCGTTTATTATGATCACGGTGGTGGGGGGGTGGAGGGGCGTCTGTTCCATGCCGTACAGGACACAATGCAGGGCTACACCTAAGGTGAGGTGCCACTCCATCATAGGACACATATTCACACACACAATCATACTCTATGACTATAACAGTATGTCTTTGTACTGCAGAAATTCATGCAATATGGGGGGGGGGGGGCATATTCCACACATACAGCAGAGGCAGAGGTGTGAATGATCAGTGCTACCCACTGAGCTCCCCTGCCACCAATGTAAGTTACAAATAAAAGCAATTTACTATGGTAAAGTGACTAGACTCTACATGCTGCTACTCCAGTAAATGATGTAGACGCCAACGCAAGGCAGGAAGGAGAATTCAACGAAGTTCAAAACTCAATACATCAAATACAATGAAAGCTACTGTATGAGGATAACATTCCGTGTTTTAAGATTAGCCCTAAATGCCGTTTTCACCATTGTGTGGTCACATGAAGTGTTTGTTACTTGTGACCGACTTCATGTCTTCATCATTAATCCATAACATCCTAATTCTGCATTTTTCGGCCACTAAAAGCAGGCATCTGTTTAAATGTATTTCTACGATTACTTTAGCTCCAGCAAAACCGAAGACCTTCCATTTATGTTTGTCGGTTATACTGTAAGAAAACGTTTTGCTCTTAAAGAGACTGCTGAAACCTAAAAGCTGTTGTGTTTAGTGTTACGCTGCTCAGATCTAATAACTGAATTATCAGCTTAGAAATGACAGTGAAGCTGTGTTGTTCTTGCTGAATATTGAATGATAAATTGTCAAAAATCTTCGACTTTGTACTGCCTTTGTGTTGTCGCGTCATTTTAAGGGACCTCATTGGCTGTCTCACGCTTTGTATGTATGTTTTTAAATTCACAATTGTTATTGAAGATGCTGTAATCCAGATGGCATTGTCTCTGCAGAGCTGGAAATTTGATGGGAAAATACCGGAGGGGGAGGAATAAAGATGCAAGATTCTTATCCACCCACTGCAGAAGCCCAGTGACAGGGCATCTTTGTCATGTTAGCATTCTTGACCTTAAAATAATTGTCCGAACATCTCTTTTGCACTGCGGTATGTGAGCTTAAACATCAATAGCCTAGCTGAGCTACTCAGCAATAAAAACTACTTAGTAACAAATATTTTTAGAATAATGGCTAAATATTTCTGTAATAATCACTTAATTACATTCAAGCAGATTATACTATGTAGAAAAATACATTTCCAGGCAATACATTCCTAGTGTTGCATTTAAAAAATGCCGGTATAAAATTTTCAATAGTTGCTATAGTAAAGATTTATTAAAATAATATTCAGCCCTAAAAAACTAGTAGAACAGTTCAGTTTAGCTGTTAAAACATTCTCTTGATCTTGAAACTTCAAAACTGTAGCATTCTAAACATATATGTCGCATGTTAAAGACCATTTTCATAAACATTTTTGTTTTATAGACCAGCTGGGTTGAATAGTCATTTACATGATGATTAAAGAAACAAAAACATCAATGTTTTTCATTTATGTCCTTTCACAGGACTTACATTTTCAGTTCTTAACCCTTGAAACAAATACGCCTAATGACACAATACAAATGGTGCACTGGGCTTTTCCCACTGGTGGATCTGATCTCACTGCCAAGTTAACATTCAGTACACAGTTCACTTGATAATAATATGAAACCTGCAATCAGAATTTCCTTGAGTTTAAGTTAATTCTTATTTTGGCCTATATAGCCTCTGTTCATTGTTGTGGTTTAGGTCAGGCAATAACTGGGATTTTTGGTTTTAGTTAAAGAAATTCACATGCAATACAAAAAAAACACTATAGGAAAACCCTTACATTTTCACTTAAGCATATACAGAAAATAAGTGAAATACCTTTTTATTAAAATTGAAACAATATGACTGCATTTTATTTGACAAGAGAGGCATAGATAATGAATGTTAGCAGCTTTAAATATTTAATGTCTAAAACTTTATTATAGCAAAGTTTAGTGGTAGAAAATATGGACATATAATGCAATTGTGAAGCAATAGCCATAAAAAATAAGCTATCGATATTCTATCCAACCTACAACCACACAGTAAGCTCAGGAGCCTATCCCAAGCAATGTAGGGTACAAGGCAGGGGTACATCCTGGGCAGGATGCCAGGTCATCACAGGGCACGGGGCAGGGGTACATCCTGGACGGGATGCCAGGTCATCACAGGGCATGGGGCAGGGGTACATCCTGGGCGAGATGCCAGGCCATCACAGGGCATAGGGCAGGGGTACATCCTGGGCGAGATGCCAGGCCATCACAGGGCATGAGGATAGGGTACACCCTGGACGGGATGCCAGGTCATCACAGGGCACGGGGCAGGGGTACATCCTGGGCAGAATGCCAGGTCATCACAGGGCATGGGGCAGGGGTACATCCTGGATGGGATGCCAGGCCATCACAGGGCACGGGGCAGGGGTACATCCTGGACGGGATGCCAGGCCATCACAGGGCATGGGGCAGGGGTACATCCTGGGCGGAATGCCAGGCCATCACAGGGCACGGGGCAGGGGTACATCCTGGACAGGATGCCAGGTCATCACAGACTATCAGTATTGTTGCTGTTGGTCCCCACTACTAGAGTCATGTAACACATCATTGGCAGACTCAGACGGTTTGAAGAGCAGGGGAAAAAATATAAAGGGGGCACCCCCCCAGTAGGAGACGGGTTATTTTCCTAAATTATCCTAAAATAATTTCCTTAGGAAGTACTTTTGGACATCTGCTTGATTCCTAAATAAAGTGCACTGGTCATCATACGATCAGCTAAGCAATATACCTGTTTATACAGTTACATTAGACAGCTTAGCTAGGCATCTACATTAAAATACATGATATGGCTTGTACCATTACACCAGTTAGTATATAAAAGCAGTGTCCATGCATTAGTAATACATCATTGGTGAAACTCAGTCATATCGACTTTGAAGACAGCTTGTATATTAGCTACCTCACACACTAGCAGGATGTCAGGTTTACAGCTCAGACTGTACTATAGCCCCTCTTGACATCAGAACATTATAAAGGGGGTGTAGCTGAAACTCAAAACTTAAATAGTCGGAATATATGTATGTTTTTATAGCTGTGAGATTATTCACCAGCAAGAATGGCATTGGAAATTAATATCTTAAACTTTATTGTGGCATCCCTGGCAATCCTTGCGACTTTATCCTTTAATATTAAATAAAGCCAGCCTAGCCTAGCCTAGCCTAACCTAATCTAACCTAACCAAACCTAACCTAACCTAACCTGACCTAACGGGTCTATTTAAAAGAAGGAAAAAATCAAGATGCAGCAAGAGGGATTTATCTATTATATTGTGGGCTGCAGAAGCAAACTAGATGTCACATTTTTCTTTCCTAGTGTTACATTTAAAAGCTGGAGGTATAAATTTTCAATAGCACATTTTCTTGCACATTGGAGCAACTTGAGGGTATATTGTTTCATTTAATTAAGATGCACAGGAAACTGCATCTCACTGGAAACTGCATCTTACTGGAAAGGCACCCATCAGAGATATTTTTTTCCAATATAAATGGCGGTGAGTGGCTCAGCAGCAAAACATCTGTGCCTACAATCAGAAGATCCCCAGTTTAAGCCCCAGCCTGAGCAGGACAGACACATGTCTGTGGGCCTTTAACCCGCAGCTCCAGGGGCACCGCATGCTGGCTGACCTGCTGTGACCCCCAAGCTTGCTCTCATCTGTATGTGTATCTGCGTGTGTCATGGAGAGCAAGACAGGGTAGGCAAAGGGAATTATTCCAATGTATCTGTGCTCATACTTCTTCAAATGGCAAATAAGGGATCATTTCAATTTTAGGGGCACTACGTCATTCTCACTTGGAAGGGCACCCCAGACCTTATGTGGCACTATATCACATTTTATCCACTGCAAGGGCATCCATTAGGATAATTCCCCACATTCTAACACACATAGGGACACCCTATACAGCACTGCATCACATTTTATCCACTGGAAAGGCATCCATTGGGACAATTCCCCACATTCTAACACATATAGGGACACCCTATACAGCACTGCATCACATTTTATCCACTGGAGGGGCATCTATTTGTAATTCTTCATGTTTTCTCGCCACTTAGGAGACCCTTTACAGCACTGCATCACATTTTATCCACTGCAAAGGACACCCTTTGGGACACTTAATCATGTAGGGGGGGCACAGAGATCACTTCATACCAGCACCCTTTTCCATTGGAAGGGTGCCCATAGGGGCCACTTAGACCGTCCTAAGGGCATGGTATAGGGCACTGCATCACATTTCCTCCACTGGAGGGACACTCATTAAGACACGTCATCACATTTTGTTGCTCTACAGGGCACATAATTATACTACCTCACAGTAAGGGGGGGCCCTAGGTAGCGATCAATCATGTTTTTTCATGTGAAGGGCAGCCAAAAGCAGCATCATTGCCATTCAAGAGGGCACTTTAGCAACATCTTTTTCAAGCATCAGGGCACAGGGGGACCAGTTGCCCCCCCCCCAACTAAATCCAGTCCATTCCGAAATAACACATGCTACAGGCTGCTTTACCAAACAGCTTCGGGGCTAAATGACATTGCTACTCTCCGAGCATCTCCATTTACTGGTTACTGGATTATTTGTATAGGATGCTGTATCCATCAATATAAAAAACTAACTTTTTATATGTGGATTGAAAACTTGAACACTGATCTCAAAAGGATACAGCGAAAGAAAATTGCATTGATTAAAAAAAAAATCAGTATACTAAGCAAACACTCATTTTTATATAGTCATTATAGAACTGTTAATTTACAAAAGGATTTTGATGATTCTGGATGTCATTGTTTTAAAATAATAGGGGCTCATGATAGTAGGCGTTCATCATCATCCAAACTGAATCAAAAAATAGAATTCTAAACAATCTGGATGATAAAAACCTTGCATCCTATAGAGAATATAATTGTGCTCCTAAATTATAATATACTGTGCAGTCTAGCAAAAATACATTGTGCTCATAAGTATCAATACTGTCAAGAACTGAACACACTGGAACAGACTAGGTGAAGATCTACATGCAAAGCACATTGGGACCAGCTAACAAAATTTGCAAACACTCTTCTGTGTTCAGCTACAGGTAATAACATTATTTAGATCCATTCTGAACATCAGATCACAACTAGGAAGCTTAGAAAAGAGTCTTAAACTTGTCTGAGACAAACGATGGAAAGGAATGGATTCAAAGTAGCGCTTATAGATGAGGTCTAGATGTTCCAGTTTATGTCCCGAAACTCTGGTGCAGCCTTCTTTGTAGTTGTATCCTCCACAATGATTCTATGTTTAAAAGGAGACTCTGTGGTCTGGTTGTCTTCTGCTGAGTTCACTGAAATCAAGAAGTGGAGCAATCAGACAGTGTAAACATCAACATCCAAAATCATTATGTGTTAAAGATGCAACATTCTGAACTACAATCTTACACATATATGCTGTCCTATTCATTATCAGTCTGTAATTACTCCTGATAGTGTGAAATATCTTCTGTATTCTCACCTGGGACACACATGAACTGAGGCTCCTCCCACTGGCCATTGGGCAGACACTTGATGACGGGATTATGCCTTGGCAGGTAGCCGTCAACGCAGTAGTAGCGGACCATGGAACTGACCTCATAATGCAGATGTCCCTGGCTAAACACCTGTGTGTTAGGGAGAGTGGGGGGCTCGCCGCAGAAGGCTGTTCAGCAAAAAAAGTCAGAGCACAAGTCAACACAAATTCAGACAATGCTTCAAGCACAAAGATCACACTGAAGACTCCGCCCATAATATGACTGCAATAAATGTACTGAAGCCGGTTTCATAAAATTGTACATATCAATGCATTGCAGAAATGGATAGTCCTACCATATATTACAGATACCATGAGTAATACATGAATTGTATTTCATTCTCCATGAGCACCCACTTCATGTCAAAAATTACCTGAGGCTGATAGACGATAGCATGCACCCAAACCCGACTCACCAGTACCCTTTTTGCAGACGTAGGGGAGATGGTAGTTGCAGGGTACATCGCTCCATCGCCCTCCATCATTCCACATCATCACTCCACAGTCCTCTCCAGACAGGAAGTAGCTGTCTGGTTGCCCATTGTACCAGTTCTCATACAGCTGGAAGGACATGTGGCATAGAGTCAGTCAGTAGTAGTATTTTTTCCTCCAAAAATGCTCACTGCAGTTACTGGTCAATTTCCAAATATCTGTATGATGCTCAATTTTTTCTGAAGGTTGAATAGATAGTGAATCTTGAGCTGACCAAGGGGCTTCCATCAGACCAGTGAAAATCCCCTTCTATGGTTTTGTCATTGAGTCCTATCCACTGATAGTCCCTGTAGTTATCTGAGGAGAGAGACATCGCGATGAAAAGTGCTGCAGGAACACAAGATTAGGATCAGACTTCTCACACAAGACATAATATAAAGTTGAGAGCATTAGAGACTCGTTTATATTTTGGCAACACAAAAATGTGGGCTTATCGCGTACGACATCGGTTTTCCAAGGGGTAAAGAATAACTTGAACTTGTAGATGAGCCGGTCAATGAAATTGTGTAGAGGCGCTGGCTTTCTGCCAAAAGGGGTATGAGACTGAAAAAAACCCAAAAGCGTTTTGTTTTCTTACAGTGGGTTGTCAGTTACACGGGAATTTGTCTCTGAAGTTCACACCCACGTAGCTGCACAAAACTACCGGAATCAGCCATGTTGTGTTACACATCATGGGAAAGTATGCAATCTAAACTTTTACATCAAAACGGATTTTATTTAGCAATTTTTTTACATATTAATAGTATTATCCAATTGCGCTAGGAGACTGAACATCAGACCATGAGACTTTTAGATGCATAAGATGCGAACATTTTGGCATTTTAAATATCATATTTTACAAGTCAGTTTTATGATTCCATTACATTCACACTGAACTTCACAATACTTAATAAATTCTAGTTAACTTTAATCAGAGGCCATGATTCCTTAGAGACCTGAAATCCTTGTCTAAAATTATCACCGTAATGCAATTTCTGCTGTTCTTAATAAGGGTCAGATTGGAGCTGTACGGAGCAGCGATATCTGCCCTACTGTAGATGAAGTCCTGCTCCTCCGGGGTCCAGACGGACGCCAGGTGGCCTCCGTGCGTCCGGCAGTGCTGCTCCGCCTCCTCCCAGGCCTGCTGGTTGCTGAAGTGTCTGTAGCAGAAGCCCTGGAACTTCTGCCAGTCTGCATCACATGGAGCTAGATCTGGCACGGAGACAGAGATAGACAGAGAGGAACGAGAGAGGGCAGGGGAAAGATACACATCGTTTACTTCAAGTTCGATGGGAAGATTTATATTTATTTTTTTTCTGGAATGCACCATCAATACAGATGCAGTGAAGGAGTGCAATAATGCAATTTATTATTTATTCTATAACAAATATATATATATATTACGTTTTGCTCTGTGGTGGCATTCCCATCTGCTCCATCAGCTGAACTATTGAAATAATACTGTTTACATCTGTACACTCTACGTCTGCTGATCTGCTACTTTGAACTGGGACAGCACTTGCATGCACTTTCCCAGTACAGTGCAAAAGACGACTCCTGTACGATTACCAATAATTGAAGGGGACGCCAAACAGAGGGTGCATTACAACCTATATTTCCTACCTAACATAACAAACACTCCACACTGGGAAAAAAAAAATGAATGTTGCATCGTGGGTTCAGGGGGAACATTACTTAATTTCACTGAGTACTTGTACATGGTTGTGATTGCAATAAAGCTTTACTTGACTTGGCTCTTGGTGTTCGCCTGCCTCGTGCCGCGAGAACCAAGGAGGATGGCACAATTTATTTGAAAATTTGAGCATCATCAGATATTATTGCGCCTGCTCGAATGGCTGCATAGCATGCTTCCTATAGGTTATCAATTTCAGAGAAGCAAGTCATTAGCTAGCAACGTGACCGTGGTACCATTCATGTATCATAGCTGATAACCTTACTAACTGCAAATCTATTAAGGAGTGATATCCACAAATCAAGCACTGCAAGATGCTTCTCGAAGAGACGGCATGATTGACAGGGTCGTGAGGTGACATACCACAGGCGGGGTTGGATATGGGGTGGGTTGGATGTCCTACCGCATCTTCCGGAAGGGTGCAGCGAGAAATACGTCTGCAAAACCTGCCCACTGTTAGGCAAATTTTTATCGGAAATGCTGGAATAGTGTTGCTTTTTAAAATACCGTTAAAATACCATATATGGTGATCTAATGCCTGGACAGTATAAAGGTAATAAAGATTAGACACCGCCAAGGCTACAACTGGTTGGGGCTGTGGCAGTGAAACTTTTTGGCGGCTATTTTTACTGCTGTTGAATAGCGGAAGGCCAGATTTCCTGGGACATTGTGCATCATATTCAGGTATCAGGGAGCTGCTGTCAATCCGTGGGAGACTCCCGTAACTTCTGGGAGAGGTGGGCTGTCTGCAACTCAATCGATAAATACTGAGTTTCTTTGTGTTTGCACTACACATAGAATTCCCAGCAGATGTGTTAAAGAGTTTGGTAGGAATAAGAAGCTAGTAAGCATTAATGTAAGTTGCTCTGGCTAAGGGCGTCTGCCGAATGTCGTAAATGTAAACAGCTTCGCATATTTCTACTTTTACTTCAGATACGTGTCTTAATCAGCAGCAAGGTAATGTGTGATTTCTGAAGAGGGCACGATGAGTAGTGATGTACTATAAGCAGCAGAAAATAAGAAGTGGGCACCTCACCAGTCTGACAGAGCTGCCCCCAATAGGTCGGCAGGCAGAGACACTTTGCAGAGGCCCCCTCCTCTACGCATGTGCCTCCATTGGCACAAGGATTCCTGAAGCAGCCACCTGAAACGGTCAAGACATTTCAAGAGATTACTGGAATCAGATAACTGGATCATGAAATGTCTTCCAAATGGTTTAATCAGTGTGTCATTATTTGTACCACTGAACAAGAAAATTAACATAAATTGCTATAATTTGTAGGTGACACCATGCCCTCACACCTCGAAGGTTGGGGTTTTGAGTCTTATCGAACATTTTTCAATATTAGCTGAAGTTCTTCTATATGACCTAACAAGTTGTTTGGGAGTATCCACTGGTCTCTCTCTCTCTCATTCACTCTCTCTCTCTCTCTCTCTCTTTCTCTCTCTCTCTCTCACACACCTCTAACAGAGTATGTGGAGATTTGCTTACTAGGCTAGTTATTAATCATTCCCACTGAACAAATTAAACATCATTTTTAGACGCAATGAAGCTGTCCTAGATATCAAGCGCTGCAAATGGGTGAAACAGTATCCACTTCTCTTAACTCCTTCAGATCTTCAAAAACGTCCACGCCACCATGAGCTATGCGACATCAAAGCGCAGCTAAAGCACTGCATCCCGAGATGAAGACTGTAAGATAAGTCGGGAAATAGCTGAGCTGAAGTTGACCCCGAATTTCATTAGTGTGAAGGGAGATCGGTTAAGGTTTGCAGGCTGCTGCAGTGAGAGCAGCTGGAGGGTTATTTGAATGCCAATGGGGCAATGGTTTCACCAGGGCTAAAGGAATGATTGGGGTAGGCAGGTTCAGACAGTCACCATGGCACAGGTGTACTGCTAGCAACAGAAAGATATGCATGGATGACGGAGGATTATTCTGACTTCAGTAAGGAATCTCCCGGCTGTATTCTGGATCTGCATCTGAGTCCAGTGAAACAGTGAGTAAAGTTGAATGCTTTAGCTGAAAGTGTGTAAGTCAGTAGGAAATGTAATATCCAGAATGGATGTGGGTGTTGTGGTGATATATTCTTTTTGGTCGTGGGAAGTTGGCTGACTGCCTACACTAGTGGTTGGAACAGATTCCACAGTATATCCAACTGGGACAATAGTTGTAGCTGGGTTTGGGGTTCTGGTGTGATTTAATCATAAATGATGTGGAGCTGGAATATGCGTCATCAGGTTCTTCTGGAAATGACCCCGACTCCATTAGTTGCCCAAGTTTTCCAGAAGTTTGCAGAGATTCCCCACGGGTGATCAAGGATTCATGTCTTACGATCATTTCCTACGCATCGGAGGTCAGGGATATCGCAGAGGCTTCCGCTTCCGCTGTTTTATCCAACCCCTGCTGTGGTTCTAAGTGGCCCGACCCAAATGGAATGATAACTTTTGGTATATGGTCGCTGGGTCTACTAGCTTCCACCTCTACTGCCTGATAGGGAAAGGTTGGTCCAACCAAGGTAAAATGGGATAGATGTGGTCATCAAACTGATGGTGACATCATCAGGCTGGACATCTTTGTGGGCCCCAGGCAATTCGCAGGACCCAGACACCAAGGATGTGCATGAGGAACTCTCTGTAACTTCAACAGGAACTGACCCAAAGCCTGAGATACCTCCAAGGTCAGTGTAGCCAGTGGACGGTTCTATTGCTGCATGTCCTGATGTCTCCACGTCGTCCTTCGGAGCAGATGAGTCTGTCCACATAATGCCAAGCGGTTTCTGTCTGGATTCTGCACCTGTCATCAATAAATTATATGCTTATTAATGCATAATCTTTCCTGCCCTACACTGGGTGTGACATTTTATTCTAGGTGGTAATGAAGACTACATTATACAGTATACATTTATTCAAGCTCCTTTAGCTGTAAATACCTATTTTCAAAAAACTGGATAAAGAGAAGTGACTCACCAATTAAATCACAACCCTATTAATCTCCTATTGTCCACAAATTACATTCTTTAAACATAAACGCTCCAGGCAAAACCACTTAAATACACAAAGATGTGATTAAACAATGAGAGGCGCAACACGATGTTTACCTTTATGCGTTAATAACTTTACCTGCAACGATGTCAGCAGATTGACTTTGGTGGGAAGATATGACTGGATCAAAGCTGTCAAGAAAAGTCCACTCAGAATCGCCTGACCCAGTGGGTATATCCACAGGTCCATCCGCAGCGTCCTGACCCGCCTGCTTCACTGGAGAAGAGGAATCTGGCAATGAAGCACCAGACTGTTCCTGTGCAAAGTCAGTCCCTGAAGGAGATGTACCATCAGCTGAATGTAGCCAGACTGTCCATACATATAACAGCACATATCACTTTTATTAAAAAAATACAAATATTATAAACAGAAAATCATGACATTAAACCATTGGATAGAAAAGATAATGTAAAGAATAAAGAATAATGTGCCCAAAATTCAGTGTGAAACTAGTAACTAGCTTTCCAAGATATACAGAAGATATAAATTGCAACAAATCTTTTTAGGAAAATGTTGAGGGTAAAGGTAAGGAGGTATGGAGCAGCTGACAGTGCGTTGCTGCACCCACCACAAGACGAACCACCGGTGGCAGGTGATACCTCAGCACCACACCAGTCCGAATGGACCAGAGTGAGTTTTTTTCCAGTGGCTGTAGTGCCAATCCTGCCACCGACCTCTAAATTTCCCTGTGAGTTGGAGGACCTCAAAATTTGAGATGCTGAGTCATTTTTAAATAACTTCTTTGAAATGGAAATTCATTACGACATCTATAACCCATACCAGTAGAATAATCCATAGATCTATCTAGTAGGAAAATGTGAATTCAAACAAGTGTTAAAAGAGTTGGGGGTTCTTGAAATGCCAGATTGTTCTTGAATGGAGTTTGGGCCTAAGAGAAAGGAATTACTGTGTTTTTCACATTTACATTTTACATTACATTTTTCATTTTTACATCAATATTAATAGCATAGTTAAAATTCTATTATACCTGGAGAAAATACAGATGACCCACCAGATTTAGACGTCGGGACATAGTCCAGAGTGACAAACGATTCTGTCTTCTGAGTTGGCAAAGTGCCAATGTTCCTGAATTCCACTCGGGCTGAGATATTGTCCTCTCTATACTCAGCTTTAACCTTATCCCGAGTCACTGCTGATTCGGCAGGAGAGAAGCTGGCAAGTTGCTCTCTAGTGCCCTCTGGTGGAGAGTCCACTGTGGTAGACACCAAATCAGAGAACTGTACATATGGCCCAGAATTTACGTTCATATCTTCGTAAGATTTGGCAGTCCCAGAGGTTTCATTAAATTCTCCTAACATTGCCTCTTCATATTTCATATCTTCGTTAGAGATGTCAAAAAATGGCTTTGGGCTGCCAGACAGTAAGCTTGTTTCTTGCTGTCCATGAGTGATTTCAGCTTGGGTAAAACTAGGTGTGACTGTCTTCCCTTCAACACGTGCCTCTGAAGTCTTATCACTGGGGCTGGAACTATCACCTGAATGTTCAAAATCTGTACCTCCTACGGATTGATTTGTTTTAGACAGAATCTTATAAAGTTCAGTGTTGTCACCAGGAACCGAAGATGATGTTATCGGATTATCAGAGCCCAGATTTGTCTGAGGCATGGGTAGATGAATGGAGTCACCAGCAGTCATTTCAGATAGAAGTGCAAGATCACCTGACTCCAGATTTGTCTCAGGCATATCCTGATGATGTTTGGAGCCAACACCAGTCATGTTATTAAAGGATACAATACTACTGTATTCTAAATTTGTCTGAGAAACATGCTGATAATGTGTGGTGTCACCAGCAGTCATTTCAGATAGAAGTGCAAGATCACCAGATTCCAGATTTGTCTCAGGCATATCCTGATAATGCTTTGACCTATCACCAGTCATTTGATTAGGGGTCTTAATACCACCATATTCAAGATCCGTCTGAGGAATACGTAGATTATGTTTGGAGTTAGCAGACATTTCAGATAAAGGTATTGGATCACTAGATTCCAGCTTCATTTTTTGATAACGTTTCGAGTTACCGATGAGCATTTCGGGTGATATAGGTGTAAGAACTTTCAGATTTGTCTCAGCCAAGGGCTCATAGTTTTCAGAGTTAATGGCTCCTTTCATAAGAGCTTTGGCATCTTTGGACTCCGGTGCAGGGGTACCAAGGTTCTGGGAGTCGGTGGGGGAAGATGTGTCCACTAGAGAAGTTACGGTGTGCAAATTCATCATTGTTCCTTGGTCGTCTACCTGTCCACCAACATGACCACCCCCGTTTAGCTCATTCTTCTGACCCAAGACGATCTCCTGCAGGGGACCCATCGTTGCCATTGTCCCTTGATTTGTCTTCTCTGGCTTAGTGTCCATGCACTCCCTCGAATCATCAATCGGGTGACTCCTTAGGCCTGTCCAGGGAAAGAAAACATTCACATAAATAAAATAATCATCGTCATTTACCGCTATAAATGACTTAAACATACTTCTTAGCCACACTATTTCACTACCTTGGAAACAGTAGACACTGTGCAGGCTGTGTGGCTCAGGGAAGTTGGTCTGGTTGCTAAAACGGTAGATAGTCTTGACGCCAGGTGTGGAACCTCTACAGCTTTCTCTTGAGTCCCCTACCGGGTATCGTACACTGCCATCTGCAAGCCAGCCAGGACTACAGTGGTGGAGACCATCGTTCCAGGCTGCATAGACCTGAGCCAGGGTAGCCAGTGTAGCCCCGCCTGCCTGACAGTATTCTTCGGCTTCTTTGAAGGTAAGGTGCTGAGGAGTGCAGCTGTAGAGGATTTTTCCTACAGAAAAAAACATTGACGGCATGAATTAACATAATGGATTTAAAGTCGGGCCTGTCACAGATAATATTACAGTGCACTTGTGCCTAAGGCACATGATACAACAATAGAAATCACTGAAAACCTATTGAATAAGGCTGAGGTTTACTAATAATATAAAATAATTTTAACTACTACAGGTTTCATACATCAGATCACATATCTAGCAAGTATAGATGAGCTATAATTAGCAGGAATTAAGTACTTGTTAGGTTAGCTTGTTAGAAAAGCAACCTATTGAAGAGTTAAGGTTTGTTTTATGTATCAGCTTGTAACAGCCACGCTAATAATAAAATGTCATTTATGGTTACCTATTTCCGACCTGTAGCCTGACTGCAGTGCAGCATTATCCAACAGGACATTAAATCAAAGTCATTATCATGGATTTAACATATCTAAAGGCGTTATGCTGTGGGTTTTACAGCGGGGTATTTTAGTAGGTCACACGTTATAATGTGAACATTTAAATCTATTAAATAAATGGGTAAAGGTTCCTGTGATGTGTCAACATAGTGAAAGAGGCCATACAATCCCATTACCAGTGATGTCCTCCACGTAGCAGTACACATCCCAAAGCTCCGAGGGATCCCTCACTGTGTAATTCCACATTCCTCGTTCCTTTTCCTTGTCTCCAAAACAACCATCTTCAGGGGACTGAGTAGGATATCTACAGAAGGAACACACAGTTAGGATTCTCTCATAAGAGTTACTGGTGTGTGAGAGAGCTTACCGGGAGTGAAATTTAACTGCGTCGATTGTAGTATTATGCTACAATTTGTGAACACAGAGCCTTTTCCAGTCCTGTTACTTTTAAAGCACAAAATAGAAATGAAATAAACATACTTCTGTGGCTACCACACTAGCACCCGGTACTGTCTTACAATTATGTCTTCAGGAGACGCTTTTGTCCAAAGCGACATACATTTGAGACTCTTTGGATCGATTAAGGGTTAATGCAATTTGCAGGTTGGGGTGGCACGATGGATCACTGCTGCATCACCAAAGTCAGAGGTGAATCACCACTCCTGTCTGTGTGGAGGTTCCGGCATGTTCCACCTGTGTTGTGATGGGTTACCTCTTGCAGTCCAAAGACAAATAGTCTAAATAGGTTATTTGGCATCTCTCAGGTGCCTGTGTTGTATTTGTGCATGTACCCAGCAATGGACTGGCATCCTACCCGGGCTGGACCCCAGCCTTGTGACATATGCTGCTTAGGAGCCTACAGGCATCCCCATGACCTGGACCACGGTAAGCAGTTAGAAGATGGATGGGATTTGTTGGGTTCATTCCAGGACTTTATATCCACAATACAACATGCAAGGGAAATAGCTGGCCTAGCATGTCACATCAGTAACACTGCAAAGGAACAAAATAGGTTTGCTTGTGTCCACTCTGGCACTCACCGGACAGTCTGATCGGAGAGCCAGCCTGCAGTACACGGCTCAGGGCTGCCTCGATAGCCTGCTAGGAACTGGGCTGGGGTGGCCATTCGGGCTCCAATATCCTCGCACGCGGTCTGGGCCTCCCGAAATGAGAAGGCGTAGAGGCCAGAAGCATGCCGGTAATGAAAGACCACTCCTGTTACGAGACACGCACAACAGATTTGCACATGAGTTTGCATAGCTGGCCGTATGAACCACCACTCACGTTCTGTAAATGGCTTCAGGTAACTGGCACTGATGACAGCCTGCATTGTGTCACTAAATGGAACATTGGTAGCTGCAGATAGAAAATGTCTGCCAATTAAGAGAGAACATTTATCCTAATAAGTCACTGTGGTCTATAAGAACCTTGGATTGATGCTTTCTGAATGCTGTTATGGTAGCATGATCTTTTTTCACGCAATGTCTGCAGAAGACTTATTTTCTTGGCATTTTGCATTTGGATAATGAGTCCTGTCTCAATGTTAACACTCACCACAGTGCAGTGGTCATCATTAGTGCACCCTCATTCCACAGTGACCTACACTGTCATTAAGGAGTTAGTCGGCTGCCTTGTTGCCAAGACAACCGCCTCCACATTTTCACCTTTGACCTTGACAGGCACTTGGTCGTAGGAGTCCTCCAGGCCCTGCTGAGCCATGCAGCGGTAGAGACCCGAGTCGTTGTACCGCAAGCCTTCCAGCCTCAGGGTGACGTTGGTGGATGAAGAGAAGTAACCCGGCAATGAGGCATGACCTTTGTAGACTCCGCTGACCTTCACCCTGCCCCCCCGGGCCACCAGAATCTCTGTCTCCAGGCCGGATGACAGCACGCTCCACTTGACCAAGGGCAGGGTGAGGACGCCTTGGCGGCCAAAGGCAATGGGTGTCTCTGCTAATGACACTAAGCACGTCAGAGTAATTGAGCTCCCCAAGATGGCCGACACAGGTGGACTCTTGCTAATGGTCACCTTCAGGAGTCTGGAATTATCTATTTGATAGGATATAAAAAGAAAGAAAGAAATAATTAAGATTTTGCTATATTTCAACTGCTGAAAAACATAGAGTGTATTATTATTATTCTGCATTATTATTATAATGTATCTGACCAATTTTATCATATGCAAAACCTTGCTGTATTCCGTACAGCGGTTATTCTGTGATTATTTATGCACAGTCAACCCAAAGATATACATCATATAGATTCATCCGAAAATGCAAGTCACCAGATTCCCGGTCGGGTACAGAAGGGGACGTCAGGGAACAGATGGCACAGAGCAGCAGTAGAGGGAACATTCCTGATCTGCAAAAAAAGAAAGGACAGGCTGGATGTAATAGACCTGCGTGCTTCTAATAGAATATATAGGGTTTGACAGATAGAGGGTGGGAGAAGGTCACTTCACATCCGTGTTGAATCGTGTTAATGTATGAAAACGTGCAGCTCATTAAAGACTGCTGGACTCATAGGAGAGAGTCTGATTATGGGGGGGAGGCACACCTTAATAAATGAAGGCAAGGTCTATTTATTGGAGGAGATGAATTAATCCAAATTAAATATTGGGGGGTACACATCACCCCCGGTTCCTACATCTCTGTGTTCATGGTTATTGTGACACACGGACAAAGAATGAACAGGTCGGAGGTGAGAATAGATGTTTAAAAAGTGCAAAAAGTAAAAATTATTTCAAAAATTTAAAGGAGTATGGTATATGGTATAGGGTACAAATACTTCTTAACAAATATATGTTAAGTGATAGATGGAAGTGGCCATGAAGCAATAATGGCTTCTCCCACGAGAATGTCTGTGTGTGTGTTAATCCACTGTTTTATCTTAATTTAAAATGAAAAACTCTTCTGGACGAGGAGAGCCTCTGTCCCCACATGGAAGGTACTTCAAAATCGCAGTTTCTCAATCAACTGGACAGCTATCCTTTCTACTGTTAGTTAGTATAGTAGTTTAGTTTATAAGAATTATATTTTATCAGAATAAAGAAATCAATACTTTTTATTCTACTATAAATTTTGCATTGAACTATAAAATAAATCTAGCTGTTACTGTATTGTAGAAAAAGTGCTAATAAATAATGAAATTAGCAAAACATAAGAGGCATAACAGATTATACGTATAAAGCCAATATATACATATTGAAAGAAACGACAATCAAACATTCAAATAAAACTAGTGGTTAGTGTAAGTATAATACAGAATCTGGATACAGTCAATCCTATAATGCATTTAGTTGTGTTTCCTTATAACTAAAAGAATTAATGTTCCCTCTGGTTCAAAAATATCCAGATAATTATAGGATTTGTTTCACTTTTTAATGAAGGGGCTTGAGGGCTGGTTGTCTTGGGAGGAGTGAGTCAGCTGGATAAGAGCAGCACGTCCCTCCATTTCCATTTCACGCTTCTCATTAAGAACTCTGGCCTCCCTCCTGAACACCAAGACACCACAGACGTGATTCCTAAATACACTCATACATATTACAAGCTGAAAAGGCTCCTTTTGTTTTTGTGTTCCACTGCTCTCTTACGCTGGAGTGGGGACTCTGAGCCTTGGGATCTGTGCCAGCAATCGGAAGGTTGCCGGTTCAAATCCTGTGAATGCCTGGAGTGATTCTACTCCATTGGGCCCTTGAGCAAGGCCTTTAACCTGCAGCTGCTTTGTCCTGGGTATGATGTTAATCTGCATCTAGCCCTATATGGAGGTATTCCAATTTACAGGGAATGACTTGCCGGCAGGATTGGCACTCAAGCCACCGGAAAAAAAACCTCACACCGGTCCATTTGGACTGGTGTGATGCTGAGGTACATAGCTGCAGTCAGGTTCTCATCGCCGAGGTGGTTTGTTGTGTGGTGGGTGTGGCAAAGCGCTGTAATCAGTGCATGTTTCTTACCTCCTCTCTTTTGCCTAAGCCTTCCATGCAACCCTAAAAAGGGAAGCCCCACACCCTAACAAACATCACCCCCCCCCCAACCCCCGCATGTCCCCTGGATTTGTTTGCCTTCTTCCCCAGAGAGATTCTCACAGCAACAAACCTCACACATAAAGATGCACAACCTTAACACTGGGTATCCCATAACAACTTGCTGCAATAGACAGAGCGATTCTTGGGATTTCCCTTCAAAAGCATCAACAACATGTGAAAACCAGGACAAAGTCATCAACATTATATAAATTAAAATTCAGGGTAGGTGCACCTTTCTACTTTAGCTTCAAGATTTCTTTATCTATGCTTTGCCTCCATTCTTTATGGCTATCTATCTATCTATCTATCTATCTATCTATCTATCCCTTACACGGCCAGGAAAATTCACAAATGTATCATCCCACCTTTCAAAGTTCATTAGTTTGAACCTGGGGGGCCGTGGAGGGACTCAGTGCCTGCAAGTCATGGGAGAAGATGAAGGTCAAGCTGACCTGCCCAGACAGAGAGGCTGTTTTCTTTTACTTTTCAAGCTAAATCTGCAAGTCACCTCAAACTAAATATTCTGACACCCTGGATGAACTTATGCCTCCAGCACACCGAGCTTCTCTCTGTCCCAGCTGGGCACCTGTTCTACTCTTTCTCATTCTCTACATTTGTCATCCTCTGGCTCCTCTTTTCAGCAGGTTTTTTTCCACGGCATAGACAATTTCTCTAGGCAACAAACATTCATCGCATGGAGAAAAAAAATAAGGTGCGAGGAAAGACCCAGAAAGTTTATAATGCTGGGGTGTCGCCGGAGGAGCGACATGCGCCGAAACAAAACACAGTGCATGCAGGTCTGCACGACAACCAGCTGAGGAGTCTGAGTCATGCAGAGACGCGGCTCATTTGCAGTCTCTGCCACAAGCTGACAGGGCAAAACAAAAACAGCTGCTGAACTCTTCAAGGGCACAGGGACAAGGCAACAGAAAGCCTAAGACAACATTCAAGGGAGCAGCATCCTGGAAGGGCTGCTATTTACGAATATTTACAATACCATCGACATTAATAATTAGTCTGTAGAAATACAGGATGTAAATTTCTTTTAAAGAGCATTTTTTTCTCTTTCTTGAAGGCTCATTAGAAATATAGCCTGACACTGACTGTGTGCTTTGAGTTCTCCCTCTGCTTGTTGTTATGGTTACGTGAAATGGTGTCTCTATACTGCCCTGAAGTGTGCAAGCAATAAAATTGACTGGAATGGACATATGGTCAATAAGTTAACAGACTAAAGTTTTAATTTTTGTATTGATCCAGCAGAAAAAGAACTGCATTTCTCATGTCATCAGTATGAACATTTTTGAAAGACTATCCTCTTCCTGTTTTAAGATTGCTTAAACAGCAGAACCAGAACCATATCAGAACAATCAAATCACAATAAATGCTCTGTGTAGCGGCAGAGTTACGGCATTATCACATTTTTTTAGGCAGGGAATACAGCACCGTACAAAACTCCGCACCACTCTTGTAAATACACCTTGTTGTGTATTTAAAAAATAGTGGTATGCGTTATATTAAGGATACAGTTATCATATTAAAGGTGCCAGTTAAGACATAGCCATTGAAAATTAATGTTTGGTAGTCCATGCCCCCCCTTCATGGGCGGAGTTTGTGAGGGACAGCGGGGGGCTGTCCCCCCCCCCCCCCCCCGAGTGCACCATCAAACTCTCCCTATGCAACTCCATGGTGTTATGTGTACTTAGGGTGCATCAAAGGTCATTATATTCAATTTTTTTGTCTTTTTTTTTAAATAGATTTATGAGTATCTTGGAAATTAGATGATAAATCTAAGCACTTAGCAACTTATTTACAAAATGAATGAAAAGTCAAGAAATATGAAGTACAGTGATCCCTCACAATTCATCAAGTACGATTCGAGCATCTGGAACATCACAACTTTCTTAGACAAAGAAACATGAAACTTTTATTCCTACCAAATGAAGGTAACTTGCCAGTTCTTATAACTACCCATAGGAAAGTACAGGCCGCTTGTACATTTATGGATTATCTTATGAACAATGCAACTAACATGCAATCTATTTTCCATCCAAATTAGATTCTTTCTAGAATTCTGCCTAAATTAGAATCTAATTTCAATGTCAAAAATTGAATTTCCCCTTGTGGATACCCACAACATCAAAATAACAGGTTTTTATCACATTGTGAGGAAATTTGGTCCCCACAATATAATGTATACCTGGACCACACACACACACAAACAATACTCACCAAAGGAATGTAGTACCTAGCTTGACCAATCAGGGAGTACCGTATTTAACTTGCATTGCATTGTACCTTATAGCACTATACTCCATGCAGCATATTAGCAGGGTAAGTGTCACATATGCATTTGCATTTCATTAATAAAGCAAAATAAGTACATTTAACAGGCCTACATGTCAATGACAAAGATAAACATGTCAGTCCTAGATATTGTTCATATTTTCCAATGAAGGAAATAACATAGCCTACAGTCAACAGTTATTTTCAAAAAAACATGTTTGCTCGGAAAATTGTCAAGGGCAAAACTTAAGACATAGGATGAGAGTATTTATTTGTTGAGATAATACATTAGGTGTAGCCTACAGTGTGATGACCTCTACAAATAGTCAACATCATAAAATATATGTACACCCTAGTGCACCGTTAAGTGTCGTATATCATGCAGCGCAGCCTGAAAAACACACAGACCATCGCACTAACACGGAACTACGGACCTTCTTCTGTATGAAAAGCAAAAAAAAAGCGCAAAGTGTTTTTTGAACTTTTCAGATCATCAACTCGTTAAAAAGCAATGACACTTTAGTGAAAGACGATAAAATCCAGCTTACGTACCTTATTTCACAATACACTTGAAGAAAGTCTCTTTTTTTTTACCTTTTTTGTCGGTATTTTCTTCTCTAGAAAGGAAACTGTAAAGCGACCGGTAGCGCACGATAAGCAAGTCGATGCAATGTAAGTCACCCTTTCGGCGACGAGAAGAGGTACCAGGAAAGACCTTTGCTGTCAGTGTGGACGAGGGCGAAAGAAAAGACGCGGAGACAGAGAAGGCGAGGAAAACATCCCTTAGGAGCCGATTTCGGGGATTCGCCGGTTTTTGTCTCACCGTGGATGGAAAATAAATGGAGATGACAGGGCGGTGAAAATAATCTAAGCACATCACATGCATCTGTTTGTAAACATCGAGCAGGGTGGATGACTCGGATTCATCTTAAATAGAGAATGAGGCATGCAGAGGGTGGCGAATTAAGACGTTATCCAGGTCATACCCTGAATGTTAAAAGATGTGCAGACACGGAGTCATGTGTAATATGTCCCTCTGCGTCACCTGCGGTCTAGTGACCACCTCAGAAGCCGCAGGTTAATGGTTAAAGTACATGTGGGATTTTTGTTATCGAGCTGGACAAAAAAAGGACAGCCGAAGTCTGCACAAGAAAGTGTTACTAACTACAGATCAGGTCAATGGTAGACAGAAACGGGAAAAAGTGGGGTCTTACGAGAATAAAGTGCTACTGCTAATATTACCGTGTACAAATTAAACTATCGAAAACAAATCAAACTGTTTACCAAAAGCGGGGCACTCCACTCGACCAAGATGTAGACTGTACTTGTACAGGATTCAAAATTAAATCGTTGTTCCAGGTCCTGTCAGGTAGATAGATGTGTTGTTCTGTTCTGTACACAAAAATGTACTCTCGACTTTCCCCCTATAATGTAATATTTATAATCCTAGTTTAATATATGAGCAGACTTACACTTTGGGGAGGATGTCTCAAATTGGCATGTGGATATGACATGAAAATCAGAGTCATGATTTGCGTCTGGGACCCAACCACACCTGAACGTGAGGTGAGTAAGATCATCCACTGAAGTATTACAAAAGAATGTTAGAAAGGAGGCAATGGGGGAAACAAGTTGGTGTGACAGGATAACAGTGATGAGCCGCCAGGGGCAGGTAGCAGGGAAGGTGAATGCAGCTTTGTCGATCCACCCTTTCCTCTGGTGGATGTGGCTACATCAGAAGATGGAGGAATTTGACACAGAGGCACAGGAGAGACTCAGTAACACTGCACAGGACTAACCCTAACCATCATTAAAGTGCAGCTTCCATAGTTACTAACCCTGCCACCTATTCTGTCTTACAAGTGTGTTACTGATATTTTTATTTATCTGCCTCCAGTGGCAATAGCTAGCCAGTTGCATATAGGCTAAGGTCATTTCCTTTAAAGGGAAACTAATTAACATCCTTTTTACCATTTTCAACAGCATTCCAATACACATCTATAGCATAGAGAGAATAAAATACCATGTCATTTGTAAATATGTGGAACACCTTTATGTTGAACACTCCTTTGACAAAGTTCACATAGATCCTCCAGTAACTAGCAGACACACCTGATATTATATGTGTATATTAACCATTCAGTCACAAAAACTTCCACATACTGAGGAAGTCCATCATCTGTCCAGCAGCCCATCCAGCTGGGAAGGTGCCAACCACTGAGCAGACAAGATGCAGTAAGTCACACTGTGTCATGTTTCCTTAGTGGTGCGAATGCACAGTAGGCAGTAAGTGCAATGTTCTGGACTTCCACAGCTGCCACAAGTACTTCTCACTTCAGGAAATTAGGCTGGACTGAGACCGGTAAGAAAGCACGTCCTGTATATTGACCAGGTTGATTGAGAATGTAAGAGAGTCGGGAATATTGCCATCCATCCTAAACAAATCCTGAGTAAAAACAAAACATAACACACAACTCTAGCTGTTAGGGAAGGTCTTTCTATTGTCTTGAGACACATGATCTATTGGTCTAGCTTAGACTAATCTTAAACCAGAAATTCCACAGTAATGCCATGACAGCTGAGAGACACAAAAATTACAAGGTACATTTTTGGGGATGATCTACCACAATTAGATTATTTTATATCATTATTATTATTTAGGCAACATCCCAATATATTGATAACATTCCCTAGGTTTAGCTTTTATTTTTTTTTCTTGTGCAAATGTTTCATTGTCTTCCTAAATCCTATTTCCCCCAAAACCAAAAGGTCAAACAGCATTTTCTCGCAAAGACGTCCTCCAAACAAAGGGCACTGCCGACTCGGGTTTAGTTTGAAGGGGAAGAGGGAGATACGTGCAGTTAATAAAACGGCATTCAACTCACAGCACAGGATTAATGGCGACTTGCTTTGCCCGGGAGAGAAGTGATGCCAGGATCTTTAATAAAGGGAGACATTTGCATAGAGCATGGTCCAGCTTGTACTCAAACAAGCCCTTACTAGCTCTTTATTGTAGAAGGTAAACAACTTAGGCAAGGACATTATTCATGTATTCCTTTATATATATATATATATAATCTTCCTCATGATATGGTACCTTGTTGAGGCTAAGACTGCCAATGTTTCCGTAGCAGAGAATTAACAGAAAGCTGAAAGTGGTCAGGATGGAAATGCAGCTTGTTATCGTAGACGCCGGTGAACTTAAATAGACTGGGTTAGGATAGACAAACACACCCTTTATTACTCTGGAAATAGATTAAAGGACAACAGTGGAAAGACAAACAGGATACGATGCCAAGAACAAAAGTGTCAGGTCAACCGGATTTGGTGGACAGCCCTTAAAACGAGGCTCAAGCTTCAACCACTGATGCAGATGGGAAAAATAAAACAGAAAGGTTTTCTGACCAGGTTCAGGCTGAAATTGACAGGAGATGCAAACAACATAGTCTCCAGTCAGCAGGAATGTAAGTCAGAATGGAGAAGGTGAGAAATTGGTCGTTTGGATGTGACAGCAGAAGCGAGGCTGAGGAGTGACCAGACGCTTTCGTACATCCAGTCACCGCTTCATTGCCAATAAATTCCAGCAGCCGAAGCATCGACTTTACACCTGGACACCATAAGATAGCATTCACAGAAATTCATTAGACCAGAGTTTCCGAGCCTGGTCCATGCCCCCCCCCCCCAGCAGGTCCAGCTCGTGCCAGACAGGGGACTGTAGGGGGGTCTATGAGGGTTGGGTTGGGAAACACTGATAAAGACTAAAGTGTCACGACCAAATGACGCTAATAAATCTGAATAGCAAACATATGACCTGGTGCAGATTTCTCATTTACAACTTAATTGGAAGCTGAAAGAGAACAGCCATGACTGAAAGGGTGACCCTGTGAATTCTATAAATAAAAAAAAAAACTAATGAACTTAGAGAATATGCCCTTTACCCACCAGTACATCATCAGAAACTGATTTAAAATGCTGTATCAGTCTGGTCCAGCGTTCCAGTATACATCTAAAAAAATCTGAGAGAAGACGGTCAACAAATTAATAGTGGATAACCAAAAGTACAGGGGAGATAACAGAAGCCAAAATTAGAAAGCCTCACTTAAGAGGCATTCTGAATGGTTTTTATCTATATGGCCACTTCGACTTGATGGGCCCTAACAATAATAATAAAGCATGATAGATTTACAAATACATTTACGGTCAAATTCATTTAAAACTTTTAGTCTACAACCCATAAATTAAAGCTAAATACTTATTTACTCCATTCTGAGAAAAAAATGATAATGCAATTTTGTCCAGAAGCCATAACAAATGCTTGTCTGACCTTTGCAAAGTAGACGGCAGCAGCATTTTAATAATTCTGACTGCTTGTACATTTTCTCAGCAACTCACATTAAAGGGTGGCTTAAGGGTAAATCTTATTGCATATATTTGCGAATATATGGTATGGATTGCATTTTAGACATCATAAATCTGTTTTAAAAGATGTGTACTTTAACTCAGATGAGAGGAAAATAGTGTTTAGCACAAACCATTTTCACAAAATAAGTTAATAAATGACAAAAATGATCAATTTATACGACAGACAGATAGATAGATAGATAGATAGATAGATAGATATGGCATATCATTCATACCTAGATACGTTTCTGAAAAAATCTAATCAAATTTCAAGTATGACTGCAAGGGAAATTTAACATTTGTGTATTTCAGCTTCACTCAAAAGATATGGCTGGGAGACTCCTCTTTTTAAAAGGATGAAGCATTAAAAAAAAACTTGTACGTTTAAGAACATGACTGGCAGCATTAAAACAGGACAGTTACATACCAATTACAGAGTAAAAAGGGTAACTGGCTGGGGCCAGATGGAAAGGCAATTCCAAATTTCCATAAAAAAACATGCTGACAATATTTCACCGTCTCCCATTTTATAGATGGATATTGTCCTTCATACTCCAGTTCCTCTGACTTCCCTTCAAATACTCCATCCTCCGCCATTTCTATGCCGTCAGCTCTGGCCGCTCCCCCCATTCATATTCATCGCCAAATGTTGTTCCCACTCTACCTCCACAGTCTTATAAACATCCATTGAAGCTTTGGCATCCTCTACAGATGAGTGCCCCATTTTGCCCACCTGAGGAAGGCAAAACGCCAAGTTATATTTCATATAACACACATATATTAATATGTGAAGTGGCATAAGAATACCTGTCTCACACACAAACACAATATATGAAATATATATATGTTTAATTTCCATTCCAGTTAATATGCTGCTGTGGTACCAAAAATTAAGATACCAGATAAAACAATATATGGTAAGACTTCGAAGTCTTAAATTAAGTATACCACAGGAGTTTAAACTCAGAAGATGGTGAATTGGGGGTAAAGTGACCGGTTGGTCTTGCTCACCTGGATGTCCTGTTTAAGGAGGATCTGAGAAAGTTTCTTAAGCGACACCGTTTGCTGCTCTGGGAAACCGGCCTTCTTGCTGAGCAGCGGAATTTTAGCGATGTCCCGCGTGAGGCCAGGCGGATGAGTGTAGTGCAGGACCTTGAAGTCATTTTGGATGGAATGGCCCACGACTACCTTCCCCTTCAGGATCTTCAGTATCTGGATCATTTTGGCAAAAAGTTACAAGTCAAGAGCACTGCTGAGCATTCTGCAAACCTAGTTTGTTAAGCTTGTTAGTATATCCATCGTAAACTGTCTTTACACTTTACAGTATGAATGTGCAGCTGATATACAATTTCTAAGATTAGCAGATGATTGGGTAATACAGCCTCGATACACGTACCTCAACCCTGGCTTGATTAAAGGGCGGAGCTTTGTGGAGGTGCTTTGGTTTTATACCACTCCAGCGAGTACGAAAGTCAGTCACGGGCAAGGAGGGCGAGACGTACTTGTCGTAGACAATGTCGCCATCGTACGAGACGATGCTGCAGCGGGCTAGCTCACTGTTCCGACCTTTGGGCCCCGTGCCGACCATCTCACAGTCTAAGGCCACGTACTTGTGTGGATTTCCGAAAAGGAAGACTTGTTCGGAAGTCCCCTGCCTAGGCTTGCTAAGACTTTGGCTTGGTACAGCAAGCAGACTTTTGTTAGTCTTGGGTATGGCAGTAGTGCGATTTCTCTCTTTTGACTGGATGGTCAAAGAGCTTTGGCTAAATCTGTGTGTATCAGAAGTGGAACATTCCTTGCTCAATGATGGCTTTTGAGTACTTTGGGAGGCAGCAGTCTTTGGGGCAGCGTGTGTCGTGGCAGGGGGGTTGCGAACAAAGGGCTTATCCTGTTTTTTTCTTGCCCAATCAGGTCTTCGACTGGGGTCCTTTGCGACGTCCTTCGATTGCCAGTGCTGATGCTGATTCTTGTGAAGGAGGCCTTTGCGCTCCAAAAATCTACGCCTCTTAAGGAAATTCACATGTTTTTGTTTGCCAGTTGATGTTGTTTTCTCACTGTCAGGCACACCGTCACTGGAAAACTCCAGGTTGAGCATAAGTTCAGACATTTCTGGCAAATGTTTAGTTTTTACTTTTCTGACAGCAGAATTTTTTTCTTCCTCCCTTTTCCTTAGCTCAGTACAGTAATGATGGCAACACACTGCCTCATCTTCTTAATACGGGCTTGGTTTCAGTTTGATGCACCGATCTGAAAAGAATAAACTGTAAAACATTCAACAAGACAGAAACATCTGAGTAAACATGAGCAGAAAATTCTCATTTCATCTCATTAACTTGCATTAATTTTAACTCGCTTTTTAATGTTTTTCGAGAACTGAATTAAAATAGTAATTCACACTATCAGATGTTGTATCACAGAGTGTATCACAAGTTTGTCACACTGAAAAGCATTTCAGTGACAAATACCGCTTGTCAACATACCTAAGTATTACGTAATTACATGTAAAGCATAACTAGAGCTCTTAATGACATATAGAAACAGAAATTTCATGCAAGTTGTTACGTATAAAGCTTGGAAAACAAAATTAGCTAACAAGATAAGAACAACTACATACAATGATACCTCTCAAAACAACTTTAAACTGTACACTAAAAGCTTATAACTCGATCAGCTGTGTACATACCAAACAAGTTATTTCAGTTAGCACTAACTGACCAAAGAGAAACAGTAGCTAGCAAACACGTCTAGTTTTTATTTTCTGGTACGGGTTCGCTCCGTCCCTTTCATCTTTCACTATGGTTAAACATGTTAAAAGCGAAACAGCAAGCTGCCTGACACGTTCTCACACAGGAACAACGTGGACCTCGCTATTACTTCCGGGTTCACGGGTCACGTGGGCAAAATACATTCGGTTGTCCTCGGGATTTTAAAGGTATGAACGCATCATTAAATTTGTTTTCAAATATCAATAAATAATAATTATAAAAACATTGTACCCACATATATTACGGATTCATGCTGGCCTACTGTTTGTTCCATATTAACAAGATCAGGATATGTAGTTTCAGACATTGCACGTATGTTCTTATGTGTAGTAAATGTAATGTAATTTGAAGTGCCTCAGTGACACTGAATTTCACGGCAAGTTCCAGCTAAAAATTTGTTATCTGAAGCTGGCTTGCGTATACAATTTGCTGTTAGACCGTCATGAATGAATATTTGTGTCGATGTAAGGAAAGCGACGGCGGTGAAACAGCTGCAGCATGGTTTTGCCGGGGCGGTCGCGGACGCTGTCGGCCGAGCAGCAGAGACAGCTGGCCGGAGACCTGACCGCATTCCTCTCTCAGTACAAGTATATCTCCGACTCCTACGTAATTGTACGTATACATGACTGAGGTCCTGCTTATTAACAACATTATTATTTTAGTGAATATTGTCTGAGTTACTCTTTAACTATTGCCTATAAGCTCTGTATCGTGAAATACGAGTATATTACATTTTAAATATGAAGAATAGTGTAAAATAAAATTCAAGTGATACATTCGGATTATGTGTTTTACAATTTTAAAATCTTTACTCTTGATCGTTTTGCATTCCTAGAACCTTGAAAAATCCCTCTGTTATTGGTCCTCTATAGTAAGATATTATTGCAAGTATACAATAAGGGCAATTTAGTAACACCAGTTTCCACAGACTGCCAGCCCCAAGGTGTGAGGCCACAGGGCAACCAATTTAAGGGAATGACAGCACATTTAACATTATGTTAAATTAATAATCAGAATGCACGAGGACTGGTTAAACTTTGATTGTTGTAATTGCGTTATCAGTGTTTCACGTTTGTAACTTGTCTTATTCTGTAGGAATTTTTCAGTGAGGATTTGTGGAGCAAACTGCCCCTCAGCTGGCAGGACGCCCTCCATGACCTGTCCGCTCCCCAAATCGCTGACCTGTTACTGGATAGAACCATCACTCAACGGCGGTAAGCACCTCATCAAGCACTTATGTAAAAAAAAACCAAGAACATTTCTACCAGTAATCGGTATTTAAAGATCAGTTAAAAGCAGGAAATCTTCTGTATACTAGGTACCCTTCCGTCTGGCCTCTCTCACTGCTGGCATTTCGGACGTCGGCACACACGCTGGCTTTTTCCAGAACGCCCCACGATCAGACAGCGCGGGATGCAGGTTCCTTGCGGCCGAGGGAGTTTCAGCAGAACCAGAGCCAGAGTTTACTGCTGGGACACATATTTCGCAAGCACGTCAAGCCGAAGAAGCAGCATGAGATCCGACGGCTCGGAATGGTGCGGCCGCTGGGTGTTGATGCGTACACGCTGACTGATGCTTGTTATTCAAGGACCTTTTGAACATACCACAAAATGTTACAATGTGATAAGTTTATAATATGATAAACTAGTGTTTCTTTGCCTGGCCCTTGGGGTCCCTCAGACAGTCCATATTTTTGCTTCCTCCCAGCCCCAATTATGGGGGGGAGCAAAACATGGAGGGGGGGGAGGTCCCTGAGGACCAGATTGGGAAATACTGCCCTACATGAGGGCATAAGTTGGGGGGGGTAGTATGTGGCTCAGTGGGCTAAGTTTCTGCTTTGGTGTGCAATCTCGATTTCTGTCCCAGCTGGTGAAAACACTGTGTGATACAACAGACTGCAGCAGAGTAGTGGATGTGGGATCTGGACAGGTAATCAAATGTTATCTGTTTCCGTCTTAACCTGCTTCTGCTTCAGTAAAACATTCTAGATGTTTCTAAGAACAAGGTGTTTTTTAATGTCTCTAAAAATCTGTCCCACCAGGGTCATCTGAGTCGCTTCCTGTCATTTGGGCTTGGACTCTCTGTCACTGGCATCGAAGCAGATCCTGACCTGGTTTCCATGGCCTCAAAGTTTGATGGACAGCTGATGAGCACTCTGAAAAAAGAGAGCCAGAAGAAGGTCAGATTGTTTGTCCGACACTCTCATTAGATTATTCATTGAATCGCTGATTCACGATGAGTCTTTATTATGTAGCTTATTAATGTATTTCGTTTTTCAGAATAACAGGACAGACTATACCCTGTCTCCCCCTGGTCCCTCACCCAATCACATTACTGGTTGGGTGAACCCCAAGGCCTCATGGGAAGTATTCATCAAACAGCTGGAGGTGGGGGAATGTGAAAAGAAGGAAGTAATATTTACTCCGAAACTCAGTAAAAAGAGACAGTTGAAATCAGTATCAAAGCCCGGTCAGGACATGGACCATGCGAGCCGTTCTTCATCTTCAATTCAGTCTTGCTGTAGCTGCCAAGAAATAGGAAATGACATGCTATCCGATCTTGGCTGCCAGAGCCCGGCTGCACCCGTACAAGACTGTCAGAAATCCCCAAACCTTGACCTGCCGTCTTCTCCGAAACGGCAATGCATGTTTGAGAAAAGTGTGAGTCAGTTGTCCAGCTCTACCAAGCCTTCAAACGTGGAAGAGGATTCTGGCTGTTTGGACCCAGCAGAGCGGGACGTGGGGTCCAGCACTCAAAGCTTCATCTTGACAGGCCTTCATTCTTGTGGGGACCTAAGTGTCACCCTCCTTCGGCACTTTGCCAGCTGCCCCCACGTGCTGGTCATCACCTCAGTGGCCTGCTGCTACATGAAGCTCACCACCCTGGAAAACCCCACCCCTCCTGGAATCCTGGTCCCACCTGGTCACACCCGCACTGAGGAGATGTCATCTTCAGAGTTTGGCTACCCAATGAGTTCGCACGTGAAGGGGTTGCCTGAACACCAGCTGTCCTATAAGGCGCGTGAGGGGGCGTGTCATGCCATAGAGGATTATCTGCAGAGGTTAAGGCAGGAGGATGGGCTGCTCAGGACGCACTGCTACAGAGCGGTTCTGGAGGTGGTGATCAGGGGGGTGAGACCGGATCTACGCAGGGCCGGCATCCAGACCATCAAAAAGGCCCATCTCCTTTCCTTCTCAGAGTTAGTAATCACAAGATTTTCCAACAGAAATAATAGTTATACTGATCAGTCAGCATGCCGTCTACACTCTGAATTTGAGTCTAACAGATAATCTTGGACTTCCCCTGCCTGTTGCTATTCTTGCTAACTATTTCCAGTTTCTGCATATAGAGCTTTCCAGTCAAGCATTTAGTTAAATAAGTCAACATTTTAGTTCCATTAAGGTTCAATTTGTAAAATGCTTTTCTCCGACATTTAAATTGTTCTGTAGTTTGACATTCCTGTTTTGCTTCTTCATACTTTAATTCCATTAATATGCATGGCTGCAGTGCCCCTCCTGTAATTAGAAGCAGTTTTACTGAGCTGAACCTACACTTCCATATTGCTTGTCTGCCTGACAGTTGGCTCGGAACTCCTCGTCTGCAGGTACGCACGCCTGGGTCTGCCGCGGGTCAGCCTGCCGCCCGACCTCCCGCTGGATGACGCCAAGCTGGGCGCTCTGCTGAGGCAGGAGGGCCGAGTGGTGGTGTACTTCAGCCTGGTGCTGCTGCTGGCTCCCGTCGTGGAGAGCCTGGTTCTGCTGGACAGGATGCTGTACTTACAGGAGAGAGGTGATCAGCCCGGGGGATGCAGGACAGAAAGATTCTCGTTTTAAACGTGTGCAATAAGCGTCTTTCTGCATTAATAATAATACGTTTCTTTGATCATGGGTGAGGGATGAAGGGAGCAAGAGATGAAGAGGCAGATGGGTACAGCGTTGGCAGTAATGCGGAAGCTGCATCTTTCTGTCGTGGTAAAGAGAGAAGTCAGTCAGAAGAAAGCTATCGATTTACCAGTCGATCTACATTCCTATCCTCACCTATGCACATAGGTGACCAAAAGAATGAGTTTCCTTCGCAGGGTGCCTGGGTGCAGCCTTAAGGCTGGTTCGAACTTCTCTGCACGAGCGCAACACTCATGTATCCACTCTGCGTATCCGCACACAGAAATGTTCATAGTTCTCCGGTCAAGCCGCGTACTTTGCATATGCGGACAACGTGGTATTTTTATTATTAATAATATTCATTAATAGTATTCATAATAATACAACCATATAATTATTATTATTCTGATATTTCCTGCACACGTACCATAGCAGGTACGTTTGTGTATGATTCCCTACGTTTTACAAATTCAGAGAGCCTGCTCACAAGGTTGCCAACTTCGGTCAACTGGTTGGCGTGAGATTTTCAATTCAAGAGTAGTCTGCACTCACATCCACACGCATTTACATGTATGTAATAGTTTTATTACCTTGTAAATAGTCTGTAGGGTTTGCAGACTACCCCAGCGCTTGTAGGTGTTTAAAGTGGACGTTAGCGAATCGATCGTGCTCAATTTGTCTAGAGCTGCGAGTTCACCGCTGTGAGGACACAAATTTGGAGCGCAGCGGGCGTTCGTCCAGGGAGGTGCACAATGACGTCAAAGGCGTCATAAATGTTTGAGTGGACACGTCCGCTAGTATTCCTATAGAGAAGTGAGAACCAGCCTAGGGCGAGGTAGGGTGAGGCGCTCAGACGGTTGGGAGGGGCACTTAGTAGAGCCGCTACTCTTCCGCATCAAAAGGAGTCAGTTGAGGTGGTTCTGGCATCTGTTTATGGTGCCTCCTGGGGAGGTGTTTCAGGCGTGTCCAACCAGGAGGAGACCCCCGGGCAGACCCAGGACACGCTGCAGAGATTACATCTCTCAGTTGACCTGGGAACGCCTTGGAATTCCCCCGGTGGAGCTGGAGGAGGTGGCTGGGGAGAGGGAGGTCTGGGCATCGCTGCTTAGACTGCCAACCCTGGATAAGCGGCAGACGATGTATGGATGGATGGATGGATGATACGTTTGATGGCCGGTTGGTCCACCAGCGTCAATACACCTTCAGCTGGTCTTCCATCTTTGCAGGTCTTCAGAGTCAGCTGGTGCCTCTCTTTGATCCTGCACTCTCACCTCGAAACCTGGTGCTGGTGGCGGTGAAACCAGGACAGGACAGCAAACTGCAGAAGCTTGTAGCGTAGCCTCAGCGCTGCTGTCAGAACCTGAGAGTGTGCGGTAGAACACGGCTGTAGACCTTGAGTGGGCGTGGAGAACTTGAGTCCTTCCTCCTCATCACAGCCTTCCTGCTTGGAGAGTCTCTCACAGACACTGAAACACGTGAGATCTGACAAGCATAATTTAATGGGTTTTGTTTTTATTTCCCCATTTTTTTAATTTAACTTCAGAATATGTAACTAAATACTACAAATATCTGTAGCCTGTATTAATACATAATACTGTTTGCTGTCATAGTTTTTAAGATATATAATATATATTTTAAATAAAAATTATATTTTTAAATGAAATATTCTTTTAATATCTTGTCTTGCCATATACATAAGAGTCATTTCATATACCTGTATAGTTGCCTCCACTCTCCCTTCTACTTTCGGATATCCACCAATTAGGTTAGATCCCACAGTGGACACACCTAACTCCAGGCCACAAGAGGGCGCTCACTCAGTTCTTGGAAGCAGGATCGACAATGTGTTTGAGAAGCAATGCTTGACAAATAATTTCTATGGACTTAAACATGTTTAAATAGGATTTGAAAAGTTCCAAAAAAAAAATGATATGTTACTTTGGCAAAGAAAAAATTGCCTGAAACAGAGTATAACATTGTAATTATATAATTTCTACATTTTAAAGGTCAAAAAACTGATTTGCAAATGTTATCTGAACATCAATAAAATCCACTAAACTAGATTAGCAAAGTACTTTCCCCCCAAAATTAAACCTTAATTTGATAACATTAAAATTATTATTTTTTTTAATTTCCTGCTGTGCTGACACCTAATGGACACACTTATTAAGTACCTAAATAATTGCTCTTAAATAGCTTAATTTTAACTCTCAAATGTTCACCACACAACAATCAGCTCCAGTGTAATTCTGTCACTGTGTGCCACTGTGTGGGGTAAGACACTGTAGCTGTAACTGGAAGGTCACTACTGCAATTCCCAGGGTCAGCAGAGGAAGTTCACTATTGGGCCCTTGGGCAGATATTTAATTGTTTTAAGCTCTCTGTCACTGACTGGAAGAATAAAGAGCGTAATATGTAATTGTTACTGAGAAAGTAAGCTTTGCTTTTATAGGTGCTAGCAGACATTATGAAACTGCGTAGCTGTCCGAGCCCTCTGCCCATCTGCGGCCATCTGGCAGTGCCACGTGCGGCTCCGTGAGAGACGTGCTGTACCCACGCGTGCCCACAATGACAAAACATCTGGCCCCGTTTCACCTCAGCACCCCGGCAACACGTACATCATTGCGGGGAATGGCTAAATGTTTCATTAAATGTTAGATATTACCCGGGCAAAAAATGATTAGTGTATACTCGTTTATTTGAGAGAATAATGAATCGGATGAGATTGAAATGTTTGTCCTGTATGCAAGTTATCAGTTATATAAACAAGCAGGTAATCTATGCCATGTTTATGGAACTACGTTTTATTTTCATCTACTGATTAACTATGTATATAAGCAATTTATATTTTATATTTGTCTTCATATTTCTCACTAATTTTATAATTCCCGCATTATACAGTATTTACTCCAGCAATTTGTCAGATTATATTTATATTTATTCGATTCTAAATGTAATTAAGTGAATATGTACCCAGTCATGGCTACATTGTACATACACATACATTATACTGTAGTGTACTGATGATGCATATTTTTTGTGTGTATGAACATATACTGTATACATGGCAGCATCATTTTATACGGAATCTGATGATCCATGAGGTCACCTTTTTCCCCATTATCATGCGATTTCTTGTGTTCTCATCTCCTCTCCTATCATCATTTTGGGATGATAAACATAAAGCATTAGATGAGGGCAAGTTGCAGTATGAAAAGGTATCAATTCACTGCAGATGTTTATTGAGCACAATAATTCCACACTTCTGTCTGGTGCCATGGAACTGGTGTTCAATATTATTTTGCAGATTTTTCTAACTCAGTCAGCCCAATTCAATTATCCTAATTAAGCAGCCGCACACCTGCCACCCAGAACAATTCATCTAAATCTCATCGGTATTGAGGGAAAAAAAATACTCAGTACTTGTTGAATTTGTGATTTGTCTCCACCTTCTGGCAGCTCAGCGATGTGTGCAGACAGAATAAAAAAGCAAAGTTGATAAATGGACTTGTTTAATAACATGACTGCCAGCGGGATAACAATAATGCATGGACCATTTTCCACTCTCAGGCTGTCATTTTAAAGATCGATAGCTGCTACAAGCAAAGCTGGAGTGTTGGCTGTGAAGGGGACTTGTTTTGTGGAGCCATTGGCATGTGATGCCAAGGACCAGGTTGATGCACAGAGACAGCAGACCAGGTATCTTCCACCCACTTGTCATAGACATGGTTGTTGGGGGCCCAGGGTGCTATCCCACGCAACGCAGGCCACGAAGCAGGAAGACACTCTAGATCTAGAGAGAGCAAAAATGTGGACTGTTTGGGGCTCCCAGAGGGCAGGGTGCAGAAACATTGCCGTAGATGGGATGCCAGGCACTGTAGGACGCTCACAAACTATGGGTCATTTAGAGATGCTGAATCACCTAATTATGTGTCTTCAGACTGCAGGAGGAAACCAGAGGACTGATAGAAAAGCCACACGACACGAGGAGAATGCAGAAACTCACACAGACAAACACAGAGAAACACAGACAAACACAGACAAACACAGACAAACACAGAGAACAGGGGCATTACCCACTAAGCCACCAAAGCAATATACATTTCAATACAAAATACTTCATACATAAAATGTAAATTTGTTATATTCACTCATGAAGAAACGGGACAGTATCTCTAAAACACAAACTCCAACAGAACAAAGATAGCGACAGTCTTAAAGGCGGAGCAGCGAGCTGTTAACCTACATTCATCTCAGTGAATCATTAGGGTGTTACTAACACTCCCACGTCTCCTGTCCTGAGTACAAAGAAGTGTCATGCAGAACATTCTTTGTATCAAATCATTGTTACATCAGCAAAGGCAAACCCTCCTCCACCAATGGCAACAGACTGGGTAATAAACTCAGATAAAACACATAAAACATTCCTCCACTGAGAAATGCACTTGCATGTCAAAATATCAAAATAATAATAATAATAATACCAAAGAACATGGGCAGTGGGCACTCCTGCAGATGCAGATTTTATAGATAGATTTCTTTGGGGAAAACTCTAATCCCAACATGATGACCTTAACCCCTACCCAGCCCTAACCTTAACCATAAATTACCAAAGAAAATATGAGACATTTTTAGTTTTTTTGATTGGATTGACAGATCTTTGTGGGCACCTGAAAAAATGGTCCCCCAACATCAAAATAGCAGGTTTTTTCATGTTGTACAGAACATTTGTTCCGCACATATCTGATTAACTTTAAAGAGGCCAAACACAAGTTTGCACAGCTGGCCCAGTCAACTGCATTATAAATGTTACCAAATCCATGATAAAGAGATACAGGATACCTGGTCCTTAAACTCAGGTCAGCACTGGAGGGGAATGCACTGGAGGGGGGCAGCACTGGAAGGGGCAGCACTGGACTTTGGTGTGTAAATGAAGCAGGCCCAAGTTGGCAAGCATTTAAGAACGTGCCCAGATGCACGATGCAGCTTTGGTTACAGCATATGTAGGTTTCTGAAGCGATCCATAAGAAAATAGTGCTTATGGTTACCTGCTTACTCACCCTCACTGGTTCCATTGCTGGATTATTGACCAGGCCAGTGGGCCCAGTGCCCCAGGGCGTCAGGCTGGAGGGGGCCTCGGAGCACCACCTGGCACCCCCGCTATATATAGACCAAGAATTAACCACCAGGGACCCAGGGCTCTTTGACATACACAGCACAAATTATCCATCAGGGCCCCCAGGGCTCCCAGCATATGTGTTGTGCTCTGGACCTACAGCTCTGGAAAAAATTAAAGGAAGGTTCCCCTGCGAGGCAGGTTGCTTCCAGGCTCAAGGTTTCTAAGGCAGCCATACAAAAGAACAAAGTGAATAAGCAAAAACCGGCCAGGTAGAGGGCGGAAGCGACTTCCTAATGCCAGAGATGACTGTAACTTATCCGACAGTTTCTCATGAATCAGAGGATGACCTCAAATGACCTTCAAAAAGACTGGGATGCATTAAGTGGTGAAGTGCACTGTTAGGACAGGATGGTATCAGGCTCCTAGAAGCAGGAGTGAAGTCCCATAAAGCAAAGAAGAAGCCCTTCACTGATGAGAAGCAGGGAAGAGCCAGGCTGCAGTTTGACAAAAAATATATAAGAGCATAAGAAATTTACAAATGACAGGAGGTGCATATCCATAAATTGAGAAATGAGTGAAACTGAACATTTTACTGCGGTCTGTTAATTTTTTGCAGAGCTGTATTTCTCCAAAGGTGGATTTTAACATCGAGTAACTTGCTGATTTATACCGGCGAAATGCCCAAATCCCGGGGACATGCATTCTGATGTATTTTTTTACACAGGCACATACCCATATATTGAGGAATGAGTGAAGCTGAACATTTTACTGTGGTCTGTTAATTTTTTCCAGGGCTGTATATGTCCCCCACCTCCTGCCCGCCCCACCCCCCATGATCTCGTTCTGGCTGGCCCTTCATTTCTTTGCAAACATAACATCCCCTGTTTCCTGTCATCTTAACCAAGTCCATCCTCACTGAAATTAAAATGTATTAAAGGTAAGTAAACGCGTATTAAATAATTGCTTGGGAAAATATCTGCAGGTTATATCATGCATAGAAACAGAGCAATTTTTTAAAAATTTAAACGTTGGTGCAAACAGTACGAATGATATTTCAAATCAACCAGACAGCGGTGGTTTGTCTGTTGACTGACTGCGTTGTTATTTAAAAAATTGCCAACACGCAGCTCCGAACAATATTCATCAAGATCACAATTCTTTCCTGTAACATCTTCACACCTAGCACCCCCTCACGGCTGATGACATGAGGAAAAATTAGACAATTCAAATATATTTGGAGCCACGGATCATCTGTGATTTGGATCAAGAATTCTTTGCAACAAACTTCCCTTGAATATACATGAAATTGAGACCAAATAAATAGATTATAGTTAAAAATAGATGTCAAGCTAATTATTTAACATACTTTAAATATTCATCATGATGTGGCCCAGTCTTACACACAACGTCACTAGTCACAGCAATTAGGTGTTATTAATAGTAGTATTAAAACAAACCATGCAAAGTCCTGTTGTATTCCAAGTATGCTTATTATATTACAACTATTCTGTTCTAAAATAGTTATTTTTAAAAAGCAGACTGTTTATAGGGCATCTGGGAAAAAGTAGAGCCATCTGTATAACCTAGTTCTTGCAGCTATGGTAGAACATGTAGTGTTGCATTTTCATCAAGAGATGGCGCTAGTAATTCAGCTTGCGTGCAGCTCAGGGGATCCATTGTAGCTTGGCGCTAGTAGAATGGCACAGGGTTCTTCTTCATCATCATCATCATGTCACAATCTTTTGTTTTAATTTTGTGTACTATAAGCCATTCAATTCGATTGTGACTTGTTGATTTGTTTTCACTATATGTATGTTCATCTTTGCACTACACTCTCACTGCTATATGCACCAGAATTTCCCCCTGGGAATATTAAGTCCATCGTAATCATTGTCATTATAAATGTATCGATAAATAATGGTAGGTTGACGTTATATACACCTTTCCTGATTTCAAATTTAAATAAAACAGAAAATAATTGGAATGAGCTGAAATGAAAACTGTAAATTTGTGGTTTTGCAATTTTCATGTCAGGCAGGGTATTGATTGTAGTTTACTAAAAGTACAGTAAGGTCAGTGTTTAAAGATGACATTTTGAGACGTAAGTTACAAACTGGTTGCAAAAAGGGTAAAACAGAAAGAAAAATAAAGACAGAAAAGAAAAGAAAGAAAGCAGAGACCTCATCTGAAAGGTTATGGTGTTTATTAAACAAGGATAGTTTGAAAGGAGGGAGATTCATTTCTTCATGGATTCAACAAAGAATTCATTACAGGACACAGTCAATGCTGCAACGAGAACCACAAATTCCTGAAAGTCGACTTCTCCGTCACAGTTTGCATCCAGGTCTCTCATTATCTTTTCCACCACCATTGGGTCTTTACTGGCCTGTCAAAGAAGAGAGACAGGAAAATAAGAAAAGCAATCCGGTTAATATTATACCTGGAAGTGGTTCTACGCCTGTCCCTAAACTACACTCACATGCATCATTACAGAATCTAACACTTCATAACTGTTAAAGTTTCATATATTTCATATCCTGTTCCACGCATCCATCCATCTTTACCCGGTAGAGGGACATGATGAGTCTGGAGACAGGAATTACAGGGTACAAGGCACACACAATCACACACTATGGGAACTCCCCCACATATGGGCTGTGGGCGGAATCCTGCACAAACACAGGAGGATCATGCTCAGTCTGCTCACCCACAGAGCCAGCTGTGGGATTCCGGTCTTAACTCACCGTCAAGAAGCCATTGAGTTCCCCCTGTAGGAGACTCTTCAGTTCTCCTTTGCTTAACTTGTATGTGTCACCTTCCTTGGAAGAGTAGCTATGAAAAACGTGGATGAGGCTCTCCAAGGCCTTCTCCAACTGGGAACTCATTTTACTAGCAGATGGTCTAGCGAAGATAAAAACAGATAATATTAAATGAGAGGACATAATGAAAATGTACAACGATGCTTACTTACTGGTTCTGTAACTCCAGTATTTATTATTTCCATTGCGGTCAAGCCTAGATCTCTCTTCTACTCTTTGAAAGCATGTTCATTCCATTGTTGGTATGTTACCAATGCATGGCTATACCAAGAGATGGACCTGAATTAATAATGTACAGCACTCCTGTCGTTCTATGGTTAATGAAATCCAATCTATCATCTGCAGCATCCTGGGTGAGGCAATATTTGCCAGTTTGCGAAGGTGTAAAAAAAAAAAAAACAAAAGAGCTTGAGTAAGATATCCAAAATCAAACTTATTATTAAACTTATTTAAACATCATTCCGAAACCAAGCAAATCTCTTACACTGAAAGATTTATGAGAAATAAAATATGCAAGTCTGATTAGAATATTGTAATAAAAAATTATTACACCTATACACAAATTATTACGCCTATCGCTGATTCCTTCACAACTGTATATTCGAAACGCACGTACTGCTTGCCTCACTTGCACTTCGTCTTGGATAAAAGCGTCTGATAATAAATCAGCTTTTTACAAAGAGACTTTACAAGTATAACATTTATTTATATTCCTCTTGTTTTTGCGTTAAAAGAGCTAATTAGTGTAAAATACACATGATACATATTTAAATATTGTTTTCCAAAATTAAGATTGCACTTATTATTTGTAACACTTGTTGCAATTTTTCTAAGACTGATCTTTACCACTGGAAATTAAAACATACGGCCTCTTTGTTACTATTAATTAAATTGCATTCAGAAATTGTGCTGTGCTCTGCTGTAAATGAAGTATTACAGCGTTACAGAAGGACAGTAGCTGTTAATAAAATCACTGAATGTTTCCCAACAACCACTTTTCTATGAAGGATATAATCAGCAGCGAAAAAAGGTATCGTACAGGTATTTTATGTTCTAAATATAGCTATGCTGTAACTTACCGCACCAGTGTACCGCAGGAGTAAATGCTCTGAAGGTGACCAGAAATCTCTTGGCCCCCTTTTTATACCGCTGCCCTGCACCTGCCTGGGAAGAGACCGGCGGAAGCGCGCGCCTCCTATTGGCACGAAGCTAAGATATCTAGTTTAAAATGCATACGGAACATTTTACAGGACATAATCATTCATTTCTGAAAGTACAAGATATTTTGTTTTATTTTTTATACTTCCTCGTGTCCCAACGCACCTGGCGGCGTATTGCATGAGACACGAAACAAAGCTATCGTTTAGTAAATATCTCATTTAAGAGAACGAGATACTTATACTCCAGTAAAATATCACAATAAATCTGCTATTAAATTAGGAAGTTTGCCATCAGGATCATCAGGATTTATTTAATAAGAACTGATTGTGCGTTTTTTCCTTTTCTTTTTTTTTTATTAGACGAGAAATATCCCATTTCTTTACTTCAGATATGCAAATACACGTCACATGATCAACTATTATTTTCCGGAATCTAGGTTTATTTCAGTTTATTTTTTGGCGCGATAGAGGGCTACGATTCGACCTACTGCTTGACGCTTTTATGTTCATGTTGCATTTCTCTCCCACTTCGAATTTTTTTTGTAACATCTCTTTGGGTAAAGTACCCATTACCGTATTTCCTAAAGTGCATATTTAATTTTGCTGCTCATAATTTACACAATTCCATACACAAGAGGACCATCGAGTCTTATTTACTTTTATTTCGTAATGTATTTTTCCTGAACCATGTTACTTGTACAGTTACCACTAAGTGTAAGAATTTAATGAACCATGCACCATTTCCTCTCATCCCTGGGGTCTTACAACACCTCTGTTACTAGTAGCAATCATTCAGCCCTACTTTCTTACAGTACTGGTGTTATAAAGAATGATAATCTGCACATCGGCAATTCAATATTCATTAAACATTTCAGTGTAGCCAAACCTTCCAAAAAATGCAGATGACCTCATTGTGCTTGTGCGCACGTATACACGCATTAAAATGAACAAATTAAAGGAATGATACATAAAACCACATTACGAATCAATTAATTATAGAGCCTGTTCCAAAGCTGGAATCCTGTATGTAGCTTTCCGTCAAACCTATAACCATTTTCTGAGAAAAAAAGAAGCAGAGTATTGCATCTGATTATTAACTAAAACCACCGCAGTGAATGTGATGTTATAAGGAGAAAACATACAGTAAGTGTGCGTTCTCATCAATGCACATGGTAGGTCTTTTCCAGGAAGACTACAAGTTCACCCGTCTGTTTGTAAAGCCACCAATGTTTACGTTTAGGTTAGTTTACGGAACCCCTGGGGTACAGGGAGGATAGGAAACACAGCGGCGGGGGAATCACTCATCGAGGCCAACTGAAGACGAATCAACAAAGCCAGTCGCTGCAGCCGTTGCCCGGGTGATCGGAAACTTGATGTAGTCGAGCTGTGTCGCGTGAAAAAAAAACCACTCCATCCTTTCCCTTTTGTCCTGGAAACTAAAGCTTCCATCTCTAATTACTGCACAATGAGAAACTGAAGCTAACTGCATTCCCATCATATTCGTGTCCATCAATAATCAGCCCAATAGGTTTTGTTGAACAGAATCACATCTTTGCATGGGCTACATTAGGCAGGCTAAGATACAATAACTAGGGAACAGGGGGATATATTTGGGAATATAACCCGTAGAACTTTGTAGAACTTTCTCTGTACTGGGGATTACAAGGGCTGCAAAGAGGAGAGTCATAAAATTTGCGATGAACGCAACAGAGAAAGCCATTAGATGGCCATGGATCAAGGCGGCCAATCAGTGGGCAGCTGCTGCTGGGATGCAAGTCGGGTTCTGACCAACCCTGGCTGGGTCGCCTGGATGAAGGTGTATGATGCTGAACAACCCGACACACCTGAGAACTTTAGGTACCTTGTTGAGAAAGCATCTCAGTACACCATGTGTCTTGCAACTAATATGCCGATAAAATTCTCACAAAACATTGGAGATGTTTCAATGATAAATGGCGAAGTCGTCTGGATGTTATTTGCTCATAATTTGCTATTTAGCAAATTAAATATCAAGAGCATATTCTCAAGAACATCAAAAATAAGAGCAATTCATTATAAGAAGCGCACGGTTTTCTCACATGCTATGTTGAAATGGCTTATAAAAGATCTATAATACCCACTCGATTCATCTTCCAACCACTTATCTGGGTCACACAGGGCCTGGAGTCGATCCCAGGGCACAAGGGGATGCTACACACTATGGCATCTTATGGACAAGTTAGAAAGCTCATTTAACTGGAATGCATGTCTTTGGAACGTAGAAGCAAACCAGAGGCCGCAAAGGAAATCGACAAAACACAGGACGAATATGCAAAGTCGACACACCAACCGAACGTGGGATTCAAACCCATAACCCTGAAGGTATAAGGCCAGAGTGTCACCCACTGAGCCAGTGTGGGTCAAAGCCCAGGAGGCACCCTAGGCAAGTTTCACTGCTGGTGCCCTTCCCAGCAAGTCTCACAGCCCATTTTATGCCACCTAGCGGGCTGACCAGAACTGCACTCCTCTAGCATGCTACTGTCATTCAGTTCAGGCAGCCTGACGTTAAAAACGCAGACTTCAATTACAAGATTTAAAAAAATCAAACACTCAGTGACAATTCCAGCATACTTGGTGTCTTGGGTGTGCAGTTGTGCTGGTGCCCCTTGGTGCCCCTTGAATGATGTTGCCCACCTTGCAAGGATTCAAGCAAACACTGTTAAATAGCAGAAGCTGATGGTCATCATTTCCCTCTGAAGATTAATAAAGTGCCTATCTGAAGTTTACACAGTAAATAAAGACCATAAAAAGAGTTCTTACAAACAAGTTTACTAAGAAAAACACAATATATAACACAATTACAATACTTAGCATTTGTGTTTTTTTTCTAATTAAATACTTAGTATTAGATTTTATTGAGTTGTAGGAGTCACGTACCTTTCTGTTATACATGATGCATGTTTAAAAAAATATACTTTTCATGTGCAGTGAATTCCATACAATACAGTGCAAAACGTGAACTCTTAAATAAGGTATTAAATTAAGCCCTTAATGTAAAATATATTTTTAAGTATGAAAAATAATGCAAATGTATATAAATTCCAAGAATATCAAGGAATATTCCCCCCAAATACAATTCAGGAGGAAGCTTCAATAAAAGGAATACATCTACACACTGAGAGAATACATGTGTCAGGTCAGTTAAACCTTGTATATTATTCAGCTGCTTAGTTCAGTGTTGGAATTCATTTCAGAAGAACGACAGTCTAAAGATTCTTTTCTGTGCATCTCTGCTCAGCCAGGGTTTCACATCTTCCTGCCGGGAGCACATATTAGCTGTGTCATTCCATTTTAATTCAACAAATTTTCGAAACGTTTCTGCATAACCATGTGAATTAGACATACTTTTCAGAGCTCAGAATATATATTTTTTTTAATTCCCCTGGAGATACAGAGCTTTTACCGCACTGTGGGTGACAGAAAAATGGAAATTCAGAGTGTTTTTTTGTGAGCTGTAACTTTTGTATTATTCCAGCTACACTTTTCTTTTTTCAAGGTCAAAGTTATTCCTGCAAATTACATTTCGCCAAAAATACAGCAAAGGACTTGGAATAACAAACAAAATTTTGTATAATGAAAATCGCATGTATGTGTACTACTTGTATATAAAATATTGGCCTGGTACTTGGTCCCCATCATTGGACAAGCACTCCAATAAAAAAAGCAATTTCTAAGCCTCAAGAAAAGCCACGTGGGGGGCGGTATTTTTTTGTTGGGAAGAAATTACTGTTTAACTGCTTTCAAACAAAATTAAAATAGTGTTGTTCAAAAATTAGGTTATTCCACGGGGTGTAGGACTTACGAGGCTTGCAGTCCATGAAAACGTTCTCTTTCCTTCCCATGAAACTCTCTCTCATCAAACAGCTTCAGTGCAAACCACAGCCTGATGAACTCTCAAGGTACATTTCATTGGCTGCTTCATTTACTGCTAGATCCAGTGATATCAATCTAACAAATTTGACTTGCTTTTTTTTATCATATAGTACATTTATATATTACATTTAAACATAAAGCAAACCCCTTTTAATAAGAGTATATTAGTTTAAACTGATACTGTGAACAACATGACCTATTCCTAACTTTAGGTCAATTGACATATTCAAATTTATTTTGTTGGGTGTGAGCAAATCACACCAAATAATCAAAAATAGTCACCTTTGGTAAAGATGATGAACCCTATGTCTCTGTTGATAAGCTAAATTTCAAACTGAAAATAAGAGGGAAATCTAGCCCATAATTAAAGAAAAGGGAATTTGTATTAGTTATCAAATAAACTGTGATCCGTGTCCATATGAATCGTACAGCCTGAAACAAACTTAGTTACGAGTTTTCTTGCCTTCAATTACAGAAAATCAAAGGAATTAACTAGTCAATTTCTGTCCAATGGCACCTCAAATAAACACTAATAAACAAAACACTTCAGTGAAAGCTTTTTCTGCAAAGTTCAGTTTCAGATTATGGAGTTAGTCACAGCTTGAGGGTGCGGTTAGTGCTGATGTCATTGGGGGCGAAAATGATGCAGGTGAACCATGTAGCTGTGACGATAAAAACGGCACAGCTCATAACAACACACTGGATTATCATTTTTTGCTTCGAATGCTATAAAAAGGTCCTACATCTCAAATGAGAAAAAAAAAAAAAATCTGAGCTCTGTAATTCACATACCAGATAAAAAAAAAATCAAAATGGGGCCACAAAGGCCATTTGTTGGGTTTAAACGGAATGACCCAGCTTTGTTTTGCCACACGAGGGCACTAATTAGCCTGGGAATTTTGGCTGTGGAAAGCAGGTTCTTTGATGTGTGGTAAGGCTCATAACAAACGCTACCTCTGTACGGAGAGATCAGTTTCACTCATTTCCGTGTACACTAAGTTACCTTCATCCCTATTCATTTCTGGGAGGGCTACTTCCTGATTCTGTACTTTTGGCTGTCTTGCCATTGGATTTTCTACGTGTAGCTCTAACGTAGAATTGCTGCTTCTTGATGAAATTCTACTTCTTATACTGATGGTCCGATCTCTGGTGAGAACAGGTTTGCCCAGCACACTCTTCAGCTGAGCCCAAAAGAAGATCTGCTGCTTTGGGTCTTTAGGCCACTCCAAGTACGTTTTGGTATTCAGCATCTTTTTAAGTTTGCAATACTTGTTAGGCAAAGAATCCGGGTCAATGGGCTCTTTAAGCACCAGGACGACGTCACTGAAGGTCTTGCCGATGGCTCGTTGTTGAGCAAAGTACAGCTCATAGTTGCACCACTCACTGTTGACAAAGTGCTTCGACAGTACGAAGATTACCTGAGAAGAGGGGAGATACAACATAACTACACGGATACTAAAAGTGTAGGACTTCACCATATTTATTTTACAGACAGCCAGTACGTTCAGATTACAAACCTTTTGTATTTGCATTTCCAGAGACTAATCCAATGAAATTGTCACACTTACCTTGCAGACACCATTATAGCAATTTGTGTCAAGATAGCATCATATGTACTCAAGCTTTAAGTTTCATTCACAAACAAGAGTCAAGTCAGAAATACTAAATAGAACATCCGATCATCATTTACTATATGATGATGCAATGTCACTCTCCTTTTATATAAAATCTGTGTCTTACCTTTCGGCTGTTCTCAATGTTCTCTATGATGTTGTCAATGATCCATTTGCCTGGCATGAAGTCTCTTTCATGAATACAAATGTTATAAGGGGGCTTGTTGCTTTCCAAGCAGGTCAACAACTGGTCTCTCACCCAATCAGCATCCGAATGGCTGTAGGAAATGAAGGCGTGATAGGCAAACGTCTTTGAAATGCCGAGTCCCTCCTGGTAAGCTCGGTATTTTGCCCGGATAATATGGCAAATGGCTCTAGTGTACCAAGGCACGTTAAACACGTAGCACAGCAGCATGAGCGCCAGCACCACAGTTGCTGTAGTCACCACGGAGATGATGATGACAAGTCGAATGTCACATTCTAGTAGTCCAGGAAAAAAATTAGCAACTGATGTGTTAAGCATAGCTTCGGGGTGGTAACATCTGTAGTTATCCGGCCAGTCTGTGATATTGACTTTCCCTTTGGTTGTAGATTCCTGAATAAAACTGTGAAGATCACAGGTGCAGTGGTATGGGTTGTTGCCTGCTTTTAGTTGGGATAATCGCGGCATTTCCTTAAAAGAGCTCATGCTAATGAGTCCAAAGGAGTTCCCATCCAACTGCAGCAACTGCAAGGTTGGATTACTCCACCCTGGAGGAATGAACTTGATCTTGTTGCCACTGAGCAGGAGTTCCTTCAAGTCAGAGACTCGCTGGAAGTAGTCCATATCCACGTGGTCCAGGTTACAGTCGGAGAGGTCCAGGTACTGCACGGTGGTTGGAAGGCAACTTAGGTCACTCTTGCCAAAGTCATTATGATGAAGAATCATCTTGGTAATATTCTGCCTCCAGTGGCAAACACCCACTTCTTTGCTGATGCCAAACTGGTTATAGCTCAGATCTATCACCTGCAGCTTTTTAAATTCTCCCACAAGAGCTGACACATCAACCAGGCTGCTCAGCTGATTGGTGCTGATGTTAAAACACTGGAGAGCAGGCACTTTACCCACATAGTCACACTGCCTGTTATAGAGGTAAGTGTCCTGTAACTGATTTTTTGACAAGTCCAACAACTCTATGACATTCATCTCATCCCAGGCATCACAAGGCACAAAGTTGAAATTAACATTCTTAATAGTCAGTCTCCGAACCTTGCTAAACCATGTAAAGTGCCAGTCAAATCTCAAGATGTCCGGGTTACTGATATCCCTGTAGAATTATACAGAACATAGTAAAATCATTGCAAAGGTTGTTAGATTATTACAAAAATGCATTCACACACAAAAGGAAATATTTTATAGCATATTAATCTTAGTGTTGATCAAAGTTCAGGTTTTGTGCGACAATGATGTGCTAGTGAAAGAATAAAGATACTAACCGAAGAATCAGATCATCCAGAACAAGGTCTGTCACACTGGAGCCCATTCCAGCCTCCTCAAATGTTGGGGACCGAGCAAAATCAAGAGATAGAAGTGACAGAGATTTAACCGGAGAAAACTGTAGGCTGACCAAAGCCATCCTTAGAACATTCTCATTAAACTTCCCACGGTACAAAATGAGTTGTTGCATGTTAATGTCTTTCAAACCATGGAAAATGTCCTCTCTATCAGTGTAGTACTTGAATTCAAAAAGGTTCCGAAAGCGAAGCTCGCTAAAAGTCATGTTAGCCAAGTCTTGTAGTATTATTGGTAGATAATTTGGCTTTTGGTCTATGGCCACATCAAACCACATATTTTTAGTCCTGATAAACTTCAGACATCCTTGTTCATATTGCTTAAGGCTAGATGCAGTTTTGATAGCAAACTTGTCCAAGTATATATGTTGTATAGACCGAAAGTCTCCCTCTTTTAGACCTGGTATGAGGGAACCACCCAAGGACAGTATCTTTAGTTTGGTGAATGTGGAGAAGATATCAGACAAAGTGGCACTGCGATATAAATTGTTGGACATATACAGGTTTTGCAAGTTAGCGAGGGGCTCTAGGGCTTTGTCGGGAATGGATGTTAGGGAGTTGTTGAAGATGTTAAGGTCTTCGAGGAGGGTATTACAGTTGAATGCTCTATCCTCAATCAAGGAAATGTTATTGAACTGAAGTTTGAGGACACGCAGATATCGGAGGGGACAGAAATCTCTTTCGTGGATTACTTGCAGTGCATTTAAGGACAGGTCCAGCTCTTCCAGTGAAAGTGGTAGCGCCTCTATAGGAACGTAACTGAGATAGCGCCCGCTGCAGTCTGCTGTGCGGTTGTCCTTGGAAATGGCACATTTGTTATTCAGTGGTATATGAAGAGAAGAGCAGTAGGCACTGACCAGAAGAGTAACCACTATAATTTTATAAATTCCAATGGCTGAACATAGGACCTGTTAAGACATCAATAAACAAAATCAACATTTTTTACAACTACTTGAAAGTGTATGTATTACAAAGAGGTTGACTTTTTTTTGCTATTGTTTTCCAGCACAAAATATAAAAATAATAAAAAAAACACCTATCTTCCAATCACTGTCAGGGTTACAGGGCCAGGGTGGGGGCAAAGCTGGAGAGGATGCCAATTTGACTTGGGGCACTTAAGCCCTACAGGCAATTTCGCAGTGCCAATTAGTCTACCTGCATGTCTTTGGACTGTGGGAGGAAACTGAAGCACTCATAGATAACCTGTGTGACACAGAGAACATGCAGAGTCCACACACACAGAGGTCACACAAGCACCATGTTGCCCTCATTTAATTCATGCAGGTTAGGGATAAGGACACAGACTTCATCACATGAAGGTTGCTTGTTCCCAGAAGGGCCCTGTTGTAGGACATTTCTGTAAGATGAAGTTCTCTAGTAACAAAAACTTGTTTGAACAAACTGCTGAAAAGTTGAGGTACTCAAAAATGTCTCTCAGGGATAATTTAGCCACCCATTTTCCATAACCACTTATCCAGTAGAGCAGTGTTTCTCAATCCGGTTCTCGGGGACCCACAGTCAGTCCATGTTTTTGCTCCCTACCAGACAGTCCATGTTTTTCCTCCCTTCGAGCTCCCTACCAGACAGTCCATGTTTTTGTACTGCGAGGGAGCAAAAACATGGACCGACTGTGGGACCCATGGACCGGACTGGGAAACACTGCAGTAGAGGGCCACAACGAGCCAGAATGCCATCCCAGGAAGCATATTAACTACTTGCCTAAAATCTTTATGCATAACTGAGGTCAGAATATTTATTCTGATATGGACACACATTTGCATTTATAAATATTTTACCGCTAAATGGAAAACATTGTCATAGTTCAAGGCCTTCCAAAACACCTCACTTTCAGCATGTTATCTAAATAATTATGTCCCGCGGTTTCAGTGTAAGATTTTGTATTTGAATACTGACTAAACAATTAAGAGTAACCAAGGTTAATTCGGGGTGACACTGTGGGTTCGAATCACACTTTCACTACGTGTGTGTGGAGTTTGCGCATTCTCCTGGTATTGTGCAGATTTTCACAGGATACTCGGATTTCCAGCAACCGGACAATGACATATAGCGTCACTAAACGACCCGTATTGTATGCTTGGGTGTGTGCACATGTGTCCTGTGATGGACTGGCATTCTGTCCAGGACATACCATAGCCCTGCACCCTATTCTGCCTGCGATCTGCATGGATAGAAGGCTTAATCAGCTGAGCAATGAAGTGTTAATAGATTGAGTTTAAAATATTTCACTCTTTCCAGCTTGACAGATAAAGAATGTGATAATGTTTGCAAGAGTTAATGTGTTCTCTACTCACATATAATGTTAATTACTCGTTTAAATAAGCTGAGCTATTTCTGCAGATGTGACATACTGTATGCTTACAGTTTCGGTTCACCCAAGGTATTTATCAATGACTAATGAATAGTTTCATAATAGTCCCATGAATAATTCATTTAAGCGTCAATCCTCCTGTTATGTGAGCTTTGCCATTTCTGGATTGTTTTCTCTTGGATTGTCTGACCCACACTTTTTAGAAAACAAATTCACCTAATCAAGGAGGATCTCTCTCTAATTGATCTAACATTAACTTCTTGAAATAACTAAAGTTCTGGTCTTAAAATATTTTTACCATCACTCAAACCACTTATTTGCCTGTAGCCTATAAGGTTTGGGGGGGCGGGGGTTCATGTTGGCTGCAAACAGTCACTACAGAAGAGGGACAGGGGGCCCCAAAGCAACCCCAGAAACAAAACACCCACCGCTGTGCATTCCTGAC